TCACACTCACCTTCTCTAGCACAGTCACACTCACCCCTCCAATCATGTAACACTCATTCTCCATCACTCTGTTACACTCGCCCCCTTTCACACTGCCGCACTCATCCTATCACATTAACCCCTCCAACTCTGTCATACTCATTCCCCCCAACCATGCCACACTCACCCTGTGGGGCATGAATGAGACACATGGAGGGGCTGAAGGGTGTGAATGTGACACATAGAGGGGCTGAGGGGTGAGGCGTATGGGGGTGGCCCAGGGCAATTTTCGCACCGGGGCCCTGTGGTTTCTAGTTACGCCTCTGTCTGATACGGATGATCCTGATTTTGAGTTGGAATTTGATAACTGTCATGCAGTTCTTAAAGAGGATAAGGGTAGAGCGCTGTTTGATCCTGACCAAATAAAAACCCCAAGTCAATCTGAATGGGTACAGGTAAACTAATGGATAAAGTAGTTTGGAATAAATTATGAGTGTCTAAAACTGAATATGCCAAAAAAAGTATCTAGAACTTAATATATATAACTATGTATTAGACAAAAATAATTAGATTTATCCAAAACAAGTGCAATATCTAAGAAGATTCTAAGATTGCTCTTGTCAGAACAAGCTTTATTACATTTAAAAAAAATATATTTGATCTTATAGAAGATTCAAAAAAATCTGGAATACCAGTAGATAGTAATACATTTAAAGGACAATATTGTCATGCGGTAACACTTCCGGGTTCGGCACTCCGCTGTGTGGAGCTGGACCCCGCCCCCCTCTGACGCTGCTCTGACGGTATTTAGGCAGACCGTGCCAGAGAGAGGGTGCTTGGTGATTGTGTGCGAGCTAATGTGTGAGCTGCTGCCGCAAGACAGCAGGCTCCACAGGCTCAGCTACTGGGAACTACTTCCGCCAGACTTAAACTCTCCACAGGGTCTGGCAATGTGGGTCCAACTTCCGAGTGTACACGCCGGCTCCTGGAAGACGCCGGCTCTCAAGCTCTGATGTTATCAAGTAAGCTCATGTTATAGAGGAATGCTGGAGAACGGAAACTCACTTTACAAGTGGACATTTTCTCTTTACTGTTGGAGGACAACTAACCTTAAGTATACCTCTCATCTAATTATCTACAATCTCATTTAATAATGAACTAAGTCTTGCTTTCTGAAATCTTCTCTACTACAAGCTACTAATTATTTGGAGGACAACTTTTATCATGCTCATTTACTATGCTCATTCACTATGAACTGTTTCTTGCTTTGCAATTACACTCACTGCTTCAAGCTACTAATTTTGGAAGACAACTCCCATCATGCCTATTAGCTATGAACTGTTCTTGCTTTGCAACTATTCTCAGCTACTTGCTTAATATTACTATTGAAGATTATTCTCATTAACTAAAGAATGTTACTTAATGCATCTCTGAGGAAATACTTAATAATGAACTTTGTGTTGTTTATTATTTGCACTTCTTCTTATTGGATTATTGCCTAAATGCAATCATTTACGTTTAACACTTATTAAAACTTCGTTTGAATCAATTTATCAGCGATTCCCTCTTTTCTTAAAGCTACAGTATCGATACTTTAAAGTTTCTCCATATCTTCTCTCATGTAATTAGGGAGGTTTACAAGCTGCAGTTGAGTTCCAAGCCAAATCACCCAAGTAGCGTAACAAATATACCTTTTTGGCAATGACAATTCTGCTACATTTACAAACATTGTAAGGCAAGTCTATGAAGGATTGATTCTCAGTTGACTCAAATTTGAACCTCAGGGCCTGGTCCAACAGCAGATGGTCTATTATCTGAAGATTCATTAATTAGAGAAATAGGTAAATATGTCAGTGCATTTTCTTCATTGGAAAAGGCTCAATATGCTTTACAGTATGTTTTCCAGCCCAATAATTTGCTGCTTCTCTGGCCCCTCTTACCTAGAAAAACTAATTTCCAAAGGTTCACGAATCTCAGACAACTCTGATTCTTCTTAAAGAACAGTTGAACATAGAGAACGACAAGACTATACAGATTCTCATAAAGCAGACTTGTCTATTTTTTCCATGTCTAGTCTCAAATAACTTCAAATATGTGGATGCTACCCATTGTAAGAGGTTATCAAACGGTGTTCCACACCCTGGCTGTGCAAAGGTAATAATTTCAAATAGAGATCAATATTTGGTGAATCAAGAAGTGCTAGAATTGGCTAAAAAGGGCACAATTGTGCTAGTTCCTATGACTTTCTTAGAATTTGTAATTCAATTATTTTAATTAAAAAAAAACAAAAACCTACAACAACAAAAAACATTTATGAAAGGTTTAACCTCAAATTTATGATGATGAGCTAATCCCCTCATTTTCTGCAGGAAGCCTGAGGCTGTGATGAGGAAGCCTTGGACTGGACGCCAGTCAGCTAACGCTCTCAGGATATCAGTAACTTCCCATTCAGAAAACTGTGTTAGAAAGTTATGTAATTTTATGCATCACTTTCTCTACTACTCCATAACAGCTTATACATACAAACAGGCAAAGAAAATACATCATAAGGCAACTGAGCGTATAAAGGAAATGCCACTGAGGTCATGTTCCCTTTCTTTGCTGCTCCCAATTCAGACACGTAGTAATAATTTTCTCCGGGTTTATAAGTAAATTATTTTTAATTTTAAAAAAAAAGACGCTTGAGTACATTCTGTAAAATATCAAAACAAATAAATCTCAATTCTTTCGTCGTTTAAAACCATTTCAAAACGATAGATACATTGTTTATGGGACTTATTGATTTAAAACCATTATTTGATCAAGATGAATTTTAAATGATGATGATGATGATGATGATAGAATATACTCAAATGTGATAAAAATTCTAACAGGTCTTCTAGGGAGTTATCATGAATCAGTTATGGAAAAATCAACAGATTTTGATTGCTTGTTTGATTCCAAGGTTCAGGATTTAGTAGACTCCTTTCAGAATCAGCTACGGTTATATTATAGGAAGCATGGGCACCAGGTCCAAGAGCGAATTTTAGATCAGCCATAACATTTCAGGTTCATTGGTGCATGTAAAGGGATTTGGATCCCATACATGAAGCTGTAACTTCGATTTTACATTTTCATATGTACACATACTTTTTATCAAGGAAAGGAGTATAAGACAATAAATGTGTAAAGTTAAAGGACCACTATAGTGCCAGGAAAACATACTCGTTTTCCTGGCACTATAGTGCCCTGAGGGTGCCCCCACCCTCAGGGACCCCCTCCCGCCCGGCTCTGGAAGGGGAAAGGGGTTAAAACTTACCTTTTTCCAGCGCTGGGCGGAGAGCTCTCCTCCTCCGATCCGGCTGAATGCGCACGCGCGGCAAGAGCTGCGCGCGCATTCAGCCGGTCACATAGGAAAGCATTCATAATGCTTTCCTATGGACGCTGCGTGCTCTCACTGTGAAAATCACAGTGAGAAGCACGCAAGCGCCTCTAGTGGCTGTCAATGAGACAGCCACTAGAGGAAATAGGGGAAGGCTTAACCCATTCATAAACATAGCAGTTTCTCTGAAACTGCTATGTTTATGAAAAAATGGGTTAACCCTAGCTGGACCTGGCACCCAGACCACCTCATTAAACTGAAGTGGTCTGGGTGCCTAGAGTGGTCCTTTAACTGAGCGTACTCTAGTTTAATGAAAATCCTATTGGCAAATATGTTTCATTTACAGACTATTGAGGGGTATTTGAGTTCAAAGACCTATTTATCCAAAATACTAAGAGCCATGCAGTATTACTAAAGTATCCCAGATTTTTTAATCCTGGGAGAATTTTGAATAATAATAATGATAGACTCAGTTGCCATATTATTGGTTGAAGAAACATTGTATACTACCAAGTTTCTATGCCTGTTAGTTATCTTTAAAGTCTGTATGCTTAAACAGTTGCTAAGGTAGAGTAGTAAAGAAAGTGAGACTATAACATTCCTGTCGGTGTGCTTTCGCTTTGGCTTAGAGCCAGCTGTTAAGTAACAAATGTACAGGCCTAATCAGCCTGACCACACTTTATCCCTGGCTGAGTTGGGGTACTGTTGCACGGTTAGGTTTGTTGATTTTAAGATGTGGTATTCCTGCTTGAAAAAAAATGTTTCATCGGCACACACACATACCTTCTATATAGGGAAATGTTAACAGAAATTCTACAGATCTTTCACAAATATATATATATATATATATATATATACCCCCATTATTTGTGCCCTAAAAAACTATTACATTCAGTAAGGTTTATACATACACAAAAATCAAAACTGAGCATTTATAGGACATATACATTCTATAATAATAATAAAAAATATATATATATATATAAATAAATATTCTGCAACATGATATTCTGCAATATGATATATATATATATATAAATATATATATATATATATCATATTGCATAGGAGTCTTTCAGCATGCACTATAAAAGGGGGTTTACCAAATGCAAATAAAAAATATTCATATATATACATTTGCTTTTACATTGGTAACCCTCCCTAATCCTCTTTAACCCCTTAAGGATACATGACATGTGTGACATGTCATGATTCCCTTTTAGTCCAGAAGTTTGGACCTTAAGGGGTTAATAGTGTATGCTTGAATACGCTAATCACACTGTATATCTCCCTGGCTGAGACTAGTCGGAGTTGCTATTCACAGAGATTGCGCAGTGGCACCATTTACCCAGGCACGTAACCCACGCTCCATCCAAGTGCCACTTCCTTGTGAGTGACAGCGGGACCAGCCAATCGCCTCCTTCCCTGGGCTAACCCCGCCCCTTTGCTGTCCCTCTCTTCAACTGCTGTTCGTTCATAACCCTTATATTTCCGTTTCCATAGTACACATTACACGCTCTCCCCTCATTTATTTTATAAACCAAGATTTCTTTTTAATTTGACTCTGCCGGGCAGTCTGATGCTCCGGAAGCTAAGCACCACTGGGCGGCGCCATGTTGGCTATTATTGGCTGTAGGGGGCGTGTCAATGGCTTGTGGCCCCTCCCACTCCCTGTGTGAGCGTGTTGGGAGGAGCTGAGTGGATACAATGTATGTGTTCCTCCGCTGTCACTGCTGTGGGGAGTACCTGGCTCTGCCGATCAGCTGCAGCCCTCACTCAGGCTAGGAGGAGGAGGAGGAGAGCAGCAGAGGTGACAGTCCAAGGACAAGGCAGGCTGCAACATATCACTGCTGGGGCTAAAACCAGGCATCATACCCCCTCTGCATCCTATAGGAAATAATTAATTGCCCCTAGAGCTAAATATTTATTAATTGCTGCAAAATGCCCCTGGCTCGCAGCTTCTCAGTCACCTCCCTCACTGGCCTGGAGGACTGGGATGATGACCTGAACCTAGAGAACTCCATGCTCTTTGAGGTGGCCTGGGAAGTGGCTAATAAAGGTGAGTGGGGGACTACCATCTCAATGAGCTGCCCTTGGGTTATGGTGTGTGGGTTAGGCCAGCCCTGGCCTGGGGGGAGGGGGGGTGGCGGGGGGTAATGTATTGGCAGCATCAGGTTTTGATTTATTTCTAACACCAACTGGTGGGGGATGCAGAACACATCTCTCACCTGTTGTAATGGTAAAGAAAATGGAAATATTTATATTGCATTGTTTCTTAAAGGGTTACTCCAAGCACCATGACCACTTCTGCTTTTAGAGTAATCATGGCAGCAGGAACCTGCTGCTGGCTACAGATGTAATTAGTTTCTCTCCTTCCGTACAGTAACTTGCCTTCTCTGGGCATTGATGTAGAGTTTTCCTTTTTTTTTTTTTTTATTTGCTCTCCCCCCCACCTCCCACTACCTATCTCTAAGGGCATGCATGTGTTCTGACTTGGTAGAATGGTACAATCAAATGCTTCTCTATGAGAAGCATTTCGTTGGACCCGTGCAGGCAGCTGTGTTGTCGCCAGAGGTGTGGGGAGCCTTGCCCAGTGCTGGATTTCATTTAAGTTTATACTTTTAATTGCATAATAAGGGGAAAGGACCTAGTTAATAATGCATCGTAAACTTAAAAATGTATTTTATATAAAGGGTCAAAGTAACCCTTTAATGATGGTTCAACAGTACAAATTGATTTCATTCAATCACAAACATAGAATGGCCCAGAGCATAAGGTATGTTACATTCCACTTATCAAAAAAGAAATCCATAAGTACAAACACACTGGTAGACATGAACATTTGATGGGGAAAAAAAATTAGTGGTGTAGAACCAATCTTACCTGTAGGGGCCCTCTTAGATATAAGGTATCCTCATTGCATATAGACAAAAGCTCCACTGATGTCACAGAAGTGTTACCTGTATATATGCATCTTGTATATTATTTGTACAATTCACCTTGCTGTAGTGTAACTGAACACTTGTTTGTATCCTCCTTGGTTTGTGCAGCAACTTAGAAACAGCACTGTACATAGTATCTGTGTACCTTGCCATTTGCAAATGTCAGTTGTGTAGTTTAATATAATTCTCTCATTTAGCACAGCGATAAAACTTGTGTAACAACAAACCTGACATTTTTCCATACCAAATAATCATGTTCTGATACAAAATAATGTCAACATAGTTTATTGTACTGTAATCCTTAGACAGGATGTGAACACATACATTCAAACGTTTCAGTATTCTGTTGACATTCTAAATCTCATGGAAGCCTGACTAAAGAAAACTGTCCATTCTGTCTGCCTTCTTCTTAGGTGAATTTCATAGTGTTAATACATAGAATACCAACAGTTTGAATTGTTGCTTCTCTTTGGATTAGAGCCAGTTGTTGAGTAAGTAATGCACATGCAGACTGGGCCTGATCACCAATGCTGCACCTTTACCTGGCAGGACTAGGTTGTAGGGTTTATTGTGTTGTGTTACTGCTTGTAGTAAATCAATAGACATGTTCTTGCATTAGCCAACACACTTTAAGCACGTGCACACACATTTCATACAGGTAAAATCATGGACACTGCAGATGCTTCACACCACGCTGTTTCGATATCAATGTCCAAATCCTGTGCTGTTACTCTTTAAAGTCGTGGTTATATACAGTAAAATGCATTACTGATCTGTATTTTATCAGTACCGCAAGTAATATGGTTTAAATGATACAATAAATGATCCAGATTATTAAAGGAGGCATCCTTTACATTCATTATGCTGGCAATGATGGACAAAAAACTGATTCAGAAAAGATAGTGGATACTCATTTGCCGAGAGTCCATTCAGAAACGCATGGATTTGGTGCTTTGCGTCTAATAGGACTAGTCACTAAACTCCAAAAGTTGTGGCTATGGCTGAGTTGGGGAATTTCTCCAGATTAGCTTTTTTTTTTTTTGCCTTTTGGTTATTCATTCGGTTTTAATTAAAGAACAAATTAAGCATTTAGTCATAAAAGTGTAGTGAATAAATCTGTGTCATTTGCATTCAATGTTCTTCTCAAACAAATAGCATATCTGAACATCATTTAAATGACACAATTACTTTTATATATAAACCCTAAATTGTATAGCCTTATAGGGAGCCTGTAGTCCAAAAATAACAATCTGTTTTTCAAGACTGTAATTCCTTACTGTCAACCCCTTTTGCTGATGATAGAGATGCAGTGGATTGCAATTAAGCATGTGCAGCCAATTGCTGCACTACTCCAGCATTTTCTTACCACGTTTCCAGCACCAGGACTCCTCCGCAACATTCGCCTTCGAAGACATCAGCATGCCTGCTGATGTCTTCTGTGATCTCCTCCAATACAATGCCATACCCATGCGTGCCCAAATGCAGCATTTCTCCAGTCAAATGCTGCTGGAAGTGCCTCTAGTGGCTGCCACAAGAGGTGCATTGTACCCTGCCATGTAAAATGTCTTACATGCTGGATTAAAACGAAAGGACTACAGCACCCTTCATTGAGCTAGTGATCTGGGTGATTTTAGTGTCCTTTAAGGCAGTTATCAATTTATTACATTTTATTATTTTGTTTAAAAACTACTTACCCAAGATACTTACATTGAGATTTCCCTCGTCATGTATGATTACTAAGATCATATACCTGTATGTCATTTATTGGTCCAAAATTTAACTTGGAACACTTACAATTAAGCATTAATGGCCATTGCAGCTACATTTTGTTTGCAGATGTTTTCTGGACCCTTAACTGGTGGCAAATGTTCCGAATGTTGTATTACTTTTTGTTGAGGTCGACAGGCGACTGCTTCTTGACTCACTTCATTTTTTAAATTTGGGATGTTAGTGGTGTATATAGAATAATGGAAAGCTGAAGAGAGCATTCTGAAATGTAAATTTGGTTATGAAATAGACAAAAAGTGAAAGGAACATCATTGATATCAAAATGATAGATGGTTAGCATAATAGTGATTTTTTTTTCTTTTTTTTTTTTTTCAAACACGCACTAGAATTAATTATATACTTGTATTGTTATACGATGTTACTATGTAATTTACCTTATATTGTGATTTATGCTGCTATTTCATTGGTGTTTTGCGTGTATCCTAAGCAGCTCTCCTGCTTTATCATCTTCCGATGAATGTATTATCTAGTGCATGGGCCGTCAACCTGGTCCCTACCGCCCACTAGTGAGCGTTTCGGGATTCCAGGTGGGCGGTAGGGCCTTCAGAGGTTAAAACCTCCTTTTGAGCGAGCGGGTGGGCACGAGCGCACACATCAATCAACCAACGTGCGCGAGAATGTATGCGGTTGGGATTTCGGAGGCTAAAACCTCCTTTTCTGCAAGTGGGCGGGCGCGGGTGGGCACGAGCGCACACATCAACCAACGTGCGTGAGAATGCGTGTGGTAGGGATTTCGGAGGTTAAAACCTCCTTTTGTGCGAGTGGACGGGCGGGCGCGAGCGCACACATCAATGAACGCATGCACGCAAACACGTGGGAAGAGGATGGGGAGGAGGGGAAACTGATAGCAGGGACAGGCAGAAACGGAGCAGAGCAGTTGCAAAATAGGAGAAAGAAAAGTTATAGGCAGTGGAAAGAGAGAATTGTTGTTGGCTGATAATAAGTGGGCTAACTAGTTCAGCTTTACTTTTGTACCTAAAGAAGGTAAAAGAAAGGAAATAAAAAGGAAAAGATAAAAAAAATAAAAATTAACAAAAAAAGAAAGAAAAATAGAGGGATAAAGGGGATAAAATAAAGGAGGAGAGTAAGCAGTGTTTAGTCTGGCTCATAAATTAAGTTTTGTTATCTTATAAAATAAAAGAAAAAGAAGTAAAAGAAGGAGAAATTTTTTTTTTTAAAAAGGGAAAAGAGATCCTTGATATACTATAAGGAAGGTAAAGAAAAAGAAGGCAGGAAATGGGAATGTGGATAGAATAACTGCAGTTTATCGTATATCACACTTAATTGCAAAAAGTGGTAAAAGAGATAATATTGGAGAAACTTTGATAATACCCTCTATCAAAGAATTTATCTCAACCGTAATGCATCAGGATATACCTGAAGTTTTAAAAACATTGCCCCTTAGTGATAACACATTAAAGAGACGCATTGACGAAATGGCGGCTAACGTTGAAAATAAACTTATAGGTATTCCTCATTTTCCATACAATTGGATGAGTCTGTCATTGCAGATAATAATGCTCTACTAATGACATATGTACGGTAACTTAATGAAAACAATACATTGTAAAAAGAAATGCTATTCACTGTCAATCTGATTACAGATACAAGAGGATTATCAATATTTAATGCTGTGAAATCATACTTTGCAAAAAATAATATACCCTTGAACAATATTGTTGCATGTGCTACTGATGGAGAACCATCAATGGTAGGCCACTATCGTGGGTTTGTTGCTTACTTGAAGGAAGAAGTGCCAAACGTTTTGCGTATTCATTGCGTTGTGCACAGACAACATATTGTAGGAAAACATTTAAGTACAAGTCTCCATTCATCATTAAGTATAATAATTAAAGCTGTAAATAAGATAAAATCTAATGCCAAGTGTGATAGAATGTGCCAGGACAATAACGAGCAGTTTATTAGGTTACTTTTACATACAGAAGTTCGATGGCTCTCAAAGGGTACATGCTTGTCTCGTTTTGTTGCATTATTTGATAGTCGTACAGTTTTTTGAAAGTGATAATGAGGCTGGTCTCTGTGAACAGTTAAACGTAAAAAATGATGCCTTTTATTTGGCAGACATTTTCAAGAGATTTAATGAAATTAATTTGCAGCTTCAAGGAGCCAATATAACTCTTATAAGTTGCAAAAATATTGTCATTATTTATCGAAAAGCTTGATCTTCTCCGTCATATTTACAAGAGAAAATTGCATCAGTTTCCTGAACTGTCCTTTATAAACAATGATGTAACTCTGGGGGATATTGAAAGGTTCAGTAGCCACCTCAAGGAACTCAAATTGGATATGGAAAAACGATTTCAAGATATTTTGAATTTAAAGGTGAATGACTGGATGATAAATCCTTTTACAGCAAATGTTGCTGAGGTTGATATAACTTGCCAAGAAGAACTATTAGATCTTAAATATGATGAAGAGAGTAAATGTAATGTTGGCAGTGGTGGATACCAAAAACTCTGGCCAAAAAAAAATAAAAATAAAAATGCCTTCCAAATATGTGGAAAATGATGTTCAACTTATTGATACCTTTCCCTACCACATATCTTGTAGAGCTAATTTCAATTTACTTTATTGTTTTCTGATTAAGCTTTATAAAGTTAAAAACATTATAAACATGCATAAAGTAGAAATAAAAAGATAAATGTACGTACATTTCTTTTTTTTTTTTTTTAAACACCCTCCTTTCTTAACCAATATTCCGCACTTGCGCAAAAACTGGTGGGCGGTAAGGAAATTTTTCCATCAAGAAAGATGCATTAGTGGGCGGTAGGTAGAAAAAGGTTGACTACCACTGATCTAGTGATTGAATATAATAATTGATAATTTGGGGGGAAAAAAAGATAATGGTGTAGTCTCACCAGTTATTGTTCACAAGGACTCAAAATAGCTTAGGCGTTAGGTTTACGATTTTAACGGAACCAAGCACCATAACCACTAGAGTGCTCTGTAGTGCAAGTAGTCAAATCATTTTAGAAAAGTTGGACTTCTCACCTGGGGTCTCTGCCTTCGCCTCCGCCTGCTTAGGCGCTTCAATTGGCTCTCCTGAGCTAAGACTGGTGCAGAACTTAGTTAATTGGCGGAGTTGCTCAACCAATGACAAACTTGTCCTATGTGTGTTTATATGTATTTTGTGGACCCAGGACATACTTGAAAACGATAGAAATCTCAATGTATCTTTCCTGGTAAAATATTTTATAAATAAAAAAAAATATGTATCTATATATCAGAACTTGACAAATTTACTTGGTATCTAGGAGACGGCTAAAAAGTTAGTAGCCAGGTTTTTAAGCAAATACAATTCTTAAAGCTGTAGTGGTTCTGGTGAGTATAGTGGCTGTAGTGGTTCTGGTGACAGCTTAATGTAGTTGTTCTGAGGTCTATATCCTGCCCCTGCATGCTTTTCAACGTAAACATTGCATTTTCAGATAAGGCAGTGTTTACGTTGCTGCCTAGTAACACCTCTAGCGACAGTCACTCAGACGGCCTCTAGAGGTGCATCCTGACTCAGTGCTGCACAGTGTGCAGCACCTATGTTAATGTTCTCCATAGTGATGCATTGATTCAATGCATCTCTATGAGGAGAAATTGATTGGCACAGCGTGGCGTTTTGCAGCGCATGCGCAATAGTCTCCCAATGCTTTCCTATGGGGAATCTTGGATTGGCTGTGATCATGAAGATTGATGATCTCTGCCATTAAGGTGGGGCCAGCTGCAACGTCACCAGCATGGCGAAAGAGAAAAAATTTGAGTAAAAACACCTTTCTCGTAAATGTATAAAAAAACCTTCCCCATGTGATTGGAGGGGGGTTAGGTCACTAAACATACACATACTGATTTGATACAGACAGACACACACTGATATTGCAACACTCTCAAATTGTGTTTTGTTTTGTGTCCACACAGCCTTCCTACCTTTGGGAGAGCTGGAGTGAATCTGTTTCCCTGGGGTCCAGTGGGGCTGCTTTCATCTCCCTACTCTGTTCCCTCTCTCACCGTTTTAAGTGATGCGGGGCTGGAGTTACGCCATATTCCAACTCCCGACATAACAGGAGGGGACGTGAGGCAGCAGAACAAAAATATTACAGCTTCCTCACTCCCTACACTCTGTCAGCTGTCCTTCAGCTCTCCATGAGCCCGGCCGCCAGTCAGTTCGTGGGGCTGAACGGGCTCACAAATGTATCTATTTTTGCTTGCAAGCAGTATATTTCCAGTGTTTGTAACGTCAATAATTCACATCGACCATCTATGTGTGTGTATTCCGTTCAGATGCCTCAAAAGCCAGTTAATGGTAAATTCCTGTGTTGCTTCGAGGCACATGACCCATTTATCAAGCTTCATTGTCGATCAGCCTCAGTTATTGATGAAACAAAACTCAATTAGAAGACGATTGTCTTGTTCTACAATGTGATTTCTGGCCAAGAGACCAAGACAATCTGAAAATGAAGAAATTAAGTAGCCTGTGGGTGTGGAATAACGTACTTTATTAATGGTGTAATTTGTTATACCCGGTAAATTGTAATAAATGTTGTCTTGCCATCTCTATTAGATTGGTCATTTCCAAACGGGAGTGTGTCAAAAGCTTTATCATTTTAACAACTGTAAAACCAGTTAATTCACAGTCAATAACAGGCTGCAATAAGCAGAATCATACTGGTAATTTGCAGGTTTAAATAATACTCATTTTTATTTGTCTTCAGAACACATTTTATCTTGGTTCTGCCCAAATATCTCTTGCTGGGTTTTTATTAAATGTTTAATATAAATTATAAGGAAAATCTGGACTACTAATTGTAGAGAATCTCAATGAAATTGTTTTGAGGACTGGAGTCCCTGAGTTCTGTCTTGCCTTAAATGGTTTAACACCTAGGCTGGACCCCAGGTACCCTTCCGCAAATGCCTTCTGCTTCCTCTGGCTGGTGTAAGAAAGCAGTAGGGGTAACCATGGGAGCTAGTGATGCTCTCAGACTGTCACTGGCCGCCCATTATTAGTATGCATGCAGGATTGGGGAAGGAAGGTGTTGGATTAGGACTGCACTGCAGTTTGTGGGTTTTTTTTTTTTTTGTTCCTGTAAGTACTTGTTACTGAGGGGCAGTTTTGACCAACACTCTCAAACCAGCTTGGTCCAGATTGTTAAAAGTGACATAATTGTTAAGGGGATACTCTAGGCATTCTAACCATATCATCTCATTGAAGTGATTATGGTTCCTGGAGTCTTTTGATGCCACCTCTGAGTTCAGTGTTAAACCATTTTAGAACAGTTTAGAAACACTGCAGAAATGATTGGAAATGACCGCACTCCAAGGACTTGTTGATAGCAAAAATAAAATATAACTTTTATTCTATATCATATAAAAAAATATCGACGTGTCAGCACCAATACTGATGAAAGACCATGTATTGGGGCTGAAACATCAATATTTTTTTTTATATGATATAGAATAAAAGTTTTATTTTTACTATCAACAAGTCCTTGGAGTACGGTCATTTCCAATCATATATATTTTTTTATTTTATTTTTTTTGTATCTTGTGCCTGACCAGCACCAGGCAATTACTCTCTAATCCAGGAGTGCAAGCATCTCAGTATATATATCTCTATCTCTATCTCTATCTCTATCTCTTATAGTTCCGTGTCCTCTGGCACTATCCCTCCATTCAGTGTGAAACCATTTTCAAGCAGTTTAGGGTCAAGCAAATATGGGTCCCTTGCTACTCACAGCCTGGCCCTTACTGGTATTACAGGTAAGGCTGTGAGTACACATCTGCTGATATCTATACTGCTAGGAGCTTTCATTAAGTAATAAAACATTAAAGGATCACTATAGTGTCAGGAAAACAAACTCATTTTCCTGACACTATACAACCCTTAGGTCCCGCCACCCTCGGGGCCCCCCTCAAAAACCTCTTCAGCCACTTACCTTAATCCAGCCCGGCGCTGGTGACCTCTCCTCCCACTCCGACGTTGATTACCGAGTGGAGCGGAATGCGCATGCGTGGCAATGCTTTCCTATGGACGTTCTGAACGCTGGATGCGCAGAAGCTCCTCTAGCGGCTGTCAGGAAGACAGCCACTAGAGGCTGGATTAACCCTGCAATGTAAACATAGCAGTTTTCCTGAAACTGCTATGTTAACATCTGAAGGGTTAAAACCTGGGGGACCTAGCACCCAGACCACTTCATTGAGCTGAAGTGGTCTGGGTGACTATAGTGTCAGTTTAAAAACTGTTTAACGCTGAATGGAAATATTTTGCTAGGGAACTGCAGACACTTGAATCACTTCAGCGATGAAGCCGTTACAATATTCCTTTAACACTGAATGAGGGTTCCCAGTCAATCTGGGCCTTCTCTGCTGCTCAGGTTAACGCTTCCACAATGGCACAAGCAGCAATAGGTTGAGAGTGTCAGCTGAGCTTTCAGCATATCACTGCCACTTATTGCTTCTATGAGTTAGTATGGCAGATGCAGAGTTTAACTATACTTCCAGTAGAGGATAAAGCTGTGTGTGGCTGGGGACTATTAAGAAATGGTTTAACACTAAACTGTCGGATGGCACCAAGGGACACAATATGATGAAGTGGGTATGGTACCTGGAGAGATCATTTTTAATTCTGGAATATGAATGCAGACAAAGAAGGGGTTGTTCCTTGGCGCCAGGTAGAACCTTTCTTAATATTTTAACATCAAACCAGGGAATGAGGCACTCTATAAGAACTACAGATCTGATGATTATGTTGCTTGGAGCAGGTTTTGCATGTGTTTGTCGTTGTTAAACCTATGCTGGTTTCTTCATGTATCGGGTTTTTTTTTTTGTTTTGTTTTGTTTTATTATGTATAACAAGTTCTCCATTACTATTTATCCTAAAACTTCTCTAACAAAGCAACTTAAATATATATTAGTTTTTGATTTGCTTCAATTCGATGTTTAGTGAAAATACCATTTTGACATCCCGATTATTCAGAAGAACATAGCTCATACCTCCAAATATCCAACAGAGAAGACATCAAACACCTTTTCATGGTTCCCACCATGATCACAAGTCTGTCCAATGAATCTTCTGATTCCAAGCAGTTTCCATATCTTCATTCTCGATAATACAAACTACTCACTAAAAATTAAACTTTTATGTTGGCACTTTTTAAAATAATAATATAAGGCGCACGGTCAACAGTCCCTTCTGTTCCCATGTGTCTTCATGCATGCTTTATTTAGTATTTCATTTAATGTTTCACCCTGACATAGAATTTGCTATTATCAGTTTAGACTATGCACTAATTATCCAGTTGGCATATCAATAGAAAAAATAATCTGAATTTTTTTTTTTTTTTTTTACCTGTGAGTAATAAATGAATCTTGGCAGTTTCATTATTCCTTGTAAAGGACCAGGTCTGATTATCAGGCATAGGCACCCTTCGGCACTCCAGATGTTTTGAACTACACCTCCCATGGTACGTTGTTGGCATTATGGGTGTAAGAGCATTATGGAGGATGTAGTCCACAAGGTTGCCGAAGGTTGCCTACCCCAGGACCAGGATATTCTGCAGTTCTCTGTAACCAGTAAACAAAACATCGAGGTAGTGAGCGCCTAACTTAAGTGAGATTGTAATTGGGACATTTCATAAGAAAATATCCCAATGTCCAAGTGATTGCAAAATTCAAAGGAATGTTGATATGCCAAAACCTGCAAACAGTGAACTGGCAGTCAAAGTAAGAATTCCTTATACTTTACACTGGATGGGGCATTTTGGTTTAAAAAAAAATAAAAAAAATAAAGCCTTTTGTAAGCGATATACAGAGATTAATGATTAAAACTTCATCCGACGAGCGATATAATAGAGAAAGTCAAACAATAAATATGTAAAATGATATGTATAGTTTGTGAACAAACCTCTTGCTTAGATGCTGAGTATGAGTTGGTGTTTTTGTTTGTGAATAGAGAAGCGCTAGCGTCTCAGCACTGTACCGTGTGGTTTTTCATCAAAGTGTGGAAGAGGAGGAAATGACCAAGGAGCAGATTGTTAAATCTAGGGCCACAATGTGTCATTTAGAGGGATGCTATAGTCACCAGACAACTACAGCTTAATGTAGTTGTTCTGGTAGGTATAGTCCGTCCATGCAGGCATTTTCACGTAAACATTGCCTTTTTAGAGAAAAAGCAGTGTTTACATTACAACCTAGGGACACCTCCAGTGGCTGCTCATCAGATGGCTACTAGGGGTGCTTCCGGTCTCCATGCTCTGCACAGAAACACTGAAATTGAGGCAATGCATCTATGAGGAGATGCTGTTTGACCAGGGCTGCGTTTGGCTCCTCCCTGCCTCCTTATGTATGGGAAAGCGTTGGTCCAGGAGAATGAGTAAAGACTAGAGTCCTTTTAATTTTAGTTACGTCAGTGTATTATTATTTTTATTCTTATTATTCTTATTCATCTATGTAGCTCCAACATATTCAGCAGCGCTCTTTAATCCTAGAATGGGGGTAACTAACCACCAGTAGTTGACATACAAAAATTAGGAGACGGGGAAAGTAGGTCATGTTTGAAAAAGCTGACATCTATGAAATTATATTTCAGACATTTTTTGTGAATACAGGCAAAATATAGATTAAATCGGGTAAATTAGGCAATTTAAGGATTATTATTATTATTATTATTATTGGTATTTATATAGCGCCAGCATATTCCGTAGTGTTTTACAAAATTATAAAAGGGGGAGATTGAACAATAAATGAGACCATTACAAAAACTTACAGGAACAATAGGCTGAAGAGGGCCCTGCTCAAACGAGCTTACAGTCTATAGGAGGTGGGGCGTACAACACAACGGGACAGGAGGTAGCAATTAAACAAGGTGCAGTGAAGCAGAGCTGGAGGAGAGAATAGAGTGCTGCCCTTTAGGAGAGAGCAAGGGACAGGTACGTGATGTAGAGGTTACTCTGGGAGGCCATAAGCTTTGGCACTTCTTAAATGATTGAAGACTAGGGGAGAGCTTGATGGTCATAGGCAGGCTATTCCAAAGGAAAGGAGCCACCCGTGAGAAGTCCTGCAAGCGTGAGTTGGCCGTACGGGTGCAGGCAGCGGACAGGAGAAGGCAGAGCGGAGAGACCAAGAAGGGGCATACCTGCAGATCAGTGAAGAGATATAGGAGGGGCTAATATTGGTCAGTGCTTTTTAGGTGTGGATTAGTACCTTGAATTGACTCCTTAGAATACAGGAAGCCATTGTAAGGACTGACACAGGGGAGAGGTGTGAGAGGAGCGATAGGAGAGGAAAATCAGTCTAGCTGCAGCATTCATTACAGATTGTAGCGCAACAATTGTGGGAAGACCTATTCGGATAGAGCTACAATAATCCATGTGAGAGATTACTAGAGCATGGACAAGCTTCTTGGTAGCATCTTGCGTAAGAAAGGGGCGGATGTGGGCTATGTTTTATACTTGGAATCTACAGGATTTGGTAACAGACTGGATGTGAGGCTCAAATGTGAGGCCAGAATAAAGTATAACGCCAAGACAGCAGGCTTGCAAGGATCGACTGATGTGGGTACCACTTGAATGGAAAGCGAAGGAGGAGGATCAGTATTGGGAAGAGAAAAGACAAGGAGTTCAGTTTTAGAGAGGCTGAGTTTCAAAAATCGGGAGGACATCCAGTCAGAGATGGAAGAAAGGCAAGCAGTGACATGTTGCAGGACAGCACGGGAGAGATCCGGGGAGGAGAGGTATTTCTGAGTGTCATCAGCGTACAGGTGGTATTGGAATCCAAATAAAATAAGTTTGCCAAGTGAGGCAGTATAAAGCGAAAATAGAAGGGGATCAAGTACAGAGCCTGGGGGACTCCAACAGAGACAGGATGATGGGAGGAGGTATCATTAGAAAGGAGACCCTGAATGAGCGTTGGGAGAGATAGGAGGAAAACCAAGAGAGGACAGTGTCACAGAAACCGAGTGATTGAAGAATTTGGAGAAGGAGAACATGGTCAACAGTGTCAAAGGCAGCAGAGAGGTCAAGAAGAATTAGTATGGAGTATTTCCCTTTGGATTTAGTTGTGATTAGGTCATTAGTGACTTTATTAAGAGCAGTCTTAGTAGAGGGGAGGGGGTGGAAGCCAAACTGAAGAGAGTTTGAAAGGATATGTCTAACTACATTCAATTGTAGTTGTTATAGTGCTATTAGTCTGTAGGCCTTTCCCCAATTTCTGGGTTAAACCAATTCTCTTTTTAACATTTTGGCCAATGTCTGGCCTACTCCTCGATTATTGCTAATGTAGAATATCCACATCTGCACAATATAAATTATTTATAAAATTATTTATTTATAAAATATTTTACCAGGAAAGATACATTGAGATTTCTCTTGTTTTCAAGTATGTCCTGGGTCCACAAATCATTGCATTGTTACATTAGGTACAACAAAATACAAAAACAATATTAATACACAATATATACAAAATTTAACATAGAACAGGCAGGAAATATATAATCAACCATGACACATGCATTCTGTTTTGAGGTATGTAGAGAGGGATCTCTTAAATGACTTTAGGCTTAGGGAAGATTTTAAATTGTGCGGGAGGTCGTTCCACAATTGCGGTGCTCTGTAGGAGAAGGAGGATCGGGACGCTTTCTTTTTGTATTGAGGTAGACTAAGTAAAGTGTTGGTACTGGATCGGAGCTTATAGAAAGTGGGAACAGCAAGGGAAAGCATTTTGTTCAGGTAGGGTGGGAGTTTACCAGAAAAGCTCTTAAAAACAAGGCTGGAAAGATGAAGGGTGCGTCTGGATTCCAGCGATAGCCAGTTTAGTTCCTTTAGCATGTCACAATGATGGGTCCTGTAATTACATTGTAGCACAAATCGGCAGAACAAGTTATACAATGTGTTGAGTTTATTAATGTGGGATTGCGATGCAGACGCATATACTACATCCCCATAATCAATGATTGCATTTCGGGCTCGCAGGCCCAAGTCATCATAAAAACATGAATGTACAATGGATAAGCAGTTGACTACTACATTGAGATTTCAATGAAGGAGGGGATCAGTTACAGTTCAAGTGGTCGCTCATGTCCAATGCCCATAGTTAGGTATGTGGTTGTGTCTATTAAGTTATTGAAATGTGTGAAGGTATTAGAAACGCATATTTGGGCTAGGCCTGTGAGAGGTAGGGCAATGTGAGTGTGGAGGAATCCGTATATTGTCTGAGGTGATCTGTGTGCCTGTGTGTAGGTGAGTATATCACATTTCGGGCTCGCAGGCCCCATTTGTCATACAAGCATGAAGAGACAATAAATAAACCGTTGATATCTGTAACAAGCTTTCAATGAGGGCGAGAGTCAATCATAGTTCCCCTGTACGCTCATATCAGTGCCCTTAGTTAGATGTGCTGTTGACTCTATTAAGTCGTTGAATTATGTGAGTATAGGAGACTCGCACAGTCGGGCTAGGCCCATAGGAGACGGGGCAGCGTAGATGAAATGGGGTCCGTATATTGCCGGAGGTGCTATATGTGCCTGTAGTGTGTTTATAAGAGTGGCATCGATAAGGATGGGGAGGTGGATAACCTGTAGTTATGCGTGGCCCTAGTATATATAAGTGGGTGGTGTGGGTCCATCGTAGAAAGAGTTGTTCAGATTATGATGTGACGTGGGAAGTGTGTAGTGGTGAGCAATGAGGCGAGTGTGCGGGGAAATGGGTGGGGGTGTAAATCCAAGGCTGCACTGCACGCCCATCGTCCGCATTAGCAGTTACCCTGCGTGTCCTCGTCGTGTAGTCTATCAAGGTCCCCTAACCGTAGCTCTGAGTCCATGCAGTAGTCGGGGAGGGTCGGAGGGGGGGGGGTCATGTGCAGGACAGCCGTATCCCTGTTTATATTTATGTAGTGGGGTTTCATTCAAATTCGTCAGCTATTCCTTTGAGGGTATGTCTCCCTTGTGGGTCCACATGGTCACCCGTTTGTCTCAGTCGGCAGTGCCTTCAAAGTCATTCCCCCAGCTTAGAGAGACGCGCGGTATACGGTTGAACGTTGCCACCTCCAGCGGGCCATCATGGAACGCATCACCTGCCATAGGTGCGTCGCCCGGCACGCACCCCCGCCCGGCCCCCCCCTACCGCTGCGCGCGGAAGGTAAACCACGGAGTCCAGAGTTCAGCACACTTCGGACCCCTGCCCATCAGCTCCGCTTGCATAGCTTCAGCCGCTCGAATATCCTCAACTCGATGGATCCATTCTTCTCTGGTAGGGATATCTGTCTTTTTCCAGTATACTGGTACGAGTGATTTAGCAGCGTTTAGCAGGTGCCGCAAGATGGATTTTTTATATGTAGATAGTGGTTGTGTGGAGACGTGGAGTAAGATTAGCTCCACCGACCAGGTGATGTCCCCCAAAATCTGACGAATGTCGGATTTGATCTGATCCCAGTATGGGCCAATATGCTTACATTCCCACCAGATATGTATGTGTCCCCCTTTCTTCCTGGCATCTCCAGCACGTTGGGGATGTGTTAGGGAAAATTTTGTGAAGCAATACCGGCGTTCGGTACCACATGGAGAGTAGTTTGTAGTTAACTTCTTGGTAGCGGGAGCTAGAGGAGTTTTTGTGTTGCCATATCAACGCCTTGTCCCACTGTGTAGGGGTGAACGTGGTGTCCAGTGCCCGCTCCCATTGACGTTGGAAAGTGTTGTTCTCCGAGGTAGGGCCAGACAGCAGGTGTTGGTAGAGGTGTGAGATGGCTTTCCCAAGAGAGGTGCCGCGAGAGCAGGCGTCTTCAAACCATGTCAGGTCTCTGTGCAGTCTGTCCCGGTGTGGGAGGGAGTTGTAATAATGTCGTAGCTGCATGTATCGGAAGGTCGCCATATGGGATCGTGGGCGTGACTCTAGCAGCTCGTCTAGAGATTTTAGTTCACCATCCTGAGTGACTTTGTAGATTGGTATATAATCCTCTCCACCCAAAAACGCCCATGCTTCCGTCGATGGTCCGCCTCCAATATTGGGATTGTGCTGGATCGGGAGTAATGGACAGGGGGTCGGGGACACCTGAGGCATTTCTCTGAGTGTTTCCCACGCTAGTAATGTTTCAGCCACCGGTCCTTCCTCTCCCCTCCTGCTGCCCCTGGTTGTTCTCCTCAGCCAAACCGCTGCCTTTAGTTTTGCAGCCTCTCCCATCCGATCCAGAGTTACCCATTGTTTACTCGTATCTGTTTCGTGCCATTCCAGGATCCTTTGTAGGACTGTTGCCTGGTGGTACTTTTTAAAATCCGGTAGGGCTAGGCCCCCTCTGTGTCTTGGTAAGCATAGGATGTCATGCCGTAGCCTGGATCGTTCCCCCCTCCAGACATATTTTATGACCGCTGATTTCAAGGTCGAGAAAAATAATGCCGGCAGGGTTGTTGGTATAGTCTGAAATAAATAAAGGATCCTAGGAAGAACGTTCATTTTTAAGACTGCTATACGGCCATGCCAGATGTGGGGGTAGGACCATCTCGGTCTGTTTCGATGGAGTGTTTTGAAATTACGGTGGTATATTCCCTGAACCAGATGGGTATTTCATTGCCTCTGTGCACCAGCGAAATGGAAAAAGTGGGCCGAGGGCTCATATTCCGCTGCGGGTGTGGTGATATTCCCTCACATTTCGGATTGAGTCGAAACCCCGATGCGGCCAAACCGTTCTATTTCTGAGAGTATGCAGGGCAAAGTGAAGGTTGGGAGATGAAGAACAAGAGGTCGTGCTATGCGGCTACCTTGTGCTGTGTCTTGGATCCGATCCGGTTGTCCCGTATTGATCTCCAGTGACAGTGCAAACAGGAGCGGCGATAGGGGACACCCCTGTCTGGTCCCGTTCGTGATCCCAAAGCCAGTGCGCCATTAACTCGCACTGCTGCCCTCGGTGTGCATAGAGCCCAAGCCATGATCCGTTGTCCAAAGCCCATGTGTCTGTTTCCCCCCGATCTTTCTCTGCCTCGACAACAGCTCCATTGAGAATAGGCGTAGGGTGCTGTCCCACCCCGTTTGGTCCACATGGACAAGGCTCGGAAGGATTCGTTGGAGTCTGTTGCCAGTTAACAACTTAGTATCCACATTTAGCAGAGAGATGGCCGATAGTTACCATTGTTCTGGGTCTTTCCCCGGCTTAAGGTATGGTCGCAGTCCTCGATGCATGAGACTTCATTAACCGCCCTTGTCAGCCGCGGTAAGAGCGCCGTGGCGAATTGTTTATAGTACTCCGTCGAGTCCTGGGGCAGTCCATTTTTAGGGAAGAGGGCGAGATCTTCCGTGCCGAAAGGAGGGGTTTGGAATTCGTGCCCGCACGGTGTCCTGGATGTATGTTTGTACATGAGGCGGTGCCTCCCCGTCTGGTGCCTGATCTGGTGGACCATAGTATGTCCTGAATTCGTCCGCTATGTCTTCTGGGTATGGGGACACTCTGCTTAAGAACTTTCGTACTTGGTTCGTGGTGTGTCGCCTTTCAGACAGCAGGTGCGTAGAGTTCTTCGAGCGTTGGAGCGAGCGTTGATATCGCTTCGTGAGGAGAGTGTTCAGGGTGCGCCTAGCTTCCAGGTGAGCTGAGACCGTTTGTGTTGGAGTAAGCGTTTAATGGTGTCGTATACGTCTGCCATACTGGTCACCTCCTTTCTCTTGCGAGTCGAGACCATGAGTATGCCCTATGACACTCTTGCCCCCACACCGACACAGACGACATCCCTTCCGTCTCGTTCTCCGTGAAGTATGAAGTCAGCGCTTGGGAAATCTCTTCTTTTAGTAGGATCCCGCCATGACCAGGTGGCCGGCTTGAGCCAACCAATCCGGACCGGACCTTCCGACCACGTGGCTGGTTCGACAGTTGCCCCGTAAGCCAGTCCAGCTTGTTTGATAAGGACATAGTCTATTCCGATTGTGCAGCGCCGAGTAGTGTGTATAGTCCCTGTCGGCGGGACCCCAGCAGTCCCAGCTCACCTAGTGCTTTGCGGATAGATCCCAACTGTGGCCGGTGGAGGAATCTAGCAGAGGATCCAACGGAGCGTTGAAGTCTCCTCCCACTATCAGGGCTCCTTCCGAGAATCCGCGAAGCTTGTTCAGTGCCCCACGTAAGAACTGTGCTTGTTTTGAGTTGGGAACGTATATGGTCGCGAGAGTGTAGATCCCCTGATGGCCCGCGATGAGGCGCGGCCCCACGGGAACGACGCGCAGCTCCGCTTGGGATAGGTGTGGGAGGGTCACCAGCTACTGTCAGGTAGTCGGTTGGATATCGTCTTTCGTTAGACGTATGACGTTTAAACGTGCAACGCAGCCTCGGGGGGAAGTATGTGTGTATTATGTGGTGTGTGTGTGAGTGGGGTAGGGGTATGGGGTCTGCCCGTAATTAAGGTCTTTTGTTTAATAAAAATAAGGGTGAACCGCGTGGGTCACCCCTTCGGGCGTCGTCCCTCTCGGAGTTTGGAGAGGTGGAGACCCAAATCTCCCCGAAAGGAGGGTCACTTGTGTCCCAGCCGGAGTGGCCTGGTGTCACCCCGCCTGATCGGTGAGTGAACGTACCTGTGGCTCCGCTGGGGATCCTACACAAGTGTAATTGTAGGGTAGTGGTCGTAGTCGAAACCAGCAGTTTATATATTGTATGTACTGTAAGTATGGGGTTGTCCCGCTCCAACCAGGTCCCGGCCCAAGTGCGAATATACATGGGAGGTGTGTATAAGCCCAACCAACTCAGGTGTGCAAAGTCTAAACATGCCATCAATGCGGATATCGCCCTTCCCGTGTCCCCGCCGTCCCGTCTGCCACAGTACCCATCCCCGGGATGTGCCCAGAAGGCAATCGTGACCCTTCACCAGCTATCAGAGTCCAACTGACCAAGGTATGCCAGCTGGGCCTAACCAAGGGTACGAGCTGTCTCTCCTAATCCTTTATGTCCGCTCCATGTGGGCATACGTCATGACCATTATACTATGTATAGTAACCCAACAGTCTGTGCTCTTTCCTTCCTTTTCTTTTCCCTTTCTTTTCCTTTTTGTCGTTAACTGGTTGCCATCCGTGGCTAAAATGTAGGTTTCTAAGTTAATAAAAATTTTTCCTTTTTTTTTCTTTAAAAAAAAAAAAAAAACCCAGAAAGAAGGTCCCTACCTGTCTCTGTCGTCTGTAGCTAGCCCCCACCCCATCCAGGCTGTCCCACCAACCTGCCTTCATTCCCGACTCTGATTCCCAGCATAGTACATTGCCCTGATCCCACAAATCACATTGCATGACACCAGTGTAAGCAGCAAATGGTACACAACCAACAGTCTCACGGTAGCATATTAAGGCACTTATCGAGGCGGGCGGAGGGTAGAAGTCCAGTGTCCCAACATAACAACAGGCAGTCCAAAACCAGGAGTGTCAGCGAGTGGACCACAGGGGCTAGCTTCTCCATAGGTTTAGGTAGGAGGAAGGGCCAGTTGCAGCTGGAGTTCACATTTCTTGCCCCCCTTGTTCCCACCACCCAAGTTGCCTGGTATCCTATATTGCAACTTGAAGCAGGGTCAGCAAATGTAAAAGTAGAGAAGGGGAGCCCGTTGTCAGTTCAAAGGGGTCAACTTCTAGTGGCATCCGGGCAGTCTCCCGAGGCTAGGCCGGGCAGAGGTAGTCTAGCGGGCTGATACCGCCTTTCCATTTTCCCCAGACCTCTGAGCTCCCCCTTTGTCATTTCCCAGCCTTTAGCCCCCCTATTCCAGTTTCCCAGCCTCTGGTCCCTCCTTTTCCTTCCCAGCCTCTGGGCCCCCATGTTCCCGTATCCCACCCCTGTGCCCCCCACACCCATCCCAGTACCTGTGCCCCTTTATCCGTCCCGTCCCTGTACCCCTTTATCCATCAGCCCTGTGCCCACCTTCTTTATCCGTAGCCCCTGTGACCTTTTCCTATCCCAGACCCTGTGCCCCCTTTACCCATAACACCACCTGTGACCACCCTTCACCTATGCCCAGTCACTAGCCACCTTTTCCATATGAGCCCCCTTTCTGGGACAGCCCCTCTGCCCTCTTTATCCATCTGAGCCAATGACCCACCACAGCCCCTATGCACCATAGATCCCACCTGAGTTTGTTGAGCCTCCTGTGCCTTCCTGCAGTCAGAATGTTGTGGTATCTACTGTGTATCAACTAGCAGCCTTGTAGCAGTATCATATACAAAGAATCCCCCAAATAGCCCTCCCCCAGCCCCTAGGGCTGCCTTGTATGTAATGCCAGTTTGGATGTCATAGCGTTGAGGGCAGTTGTAGGCTGGTATGGTTTAACTGACTAACTTTATGTATTGTCGTTATTAAGGGGTACGTAGGATTAAATGGTACAGCCACTAGCGCTTTCAAAGTAACCCTTGATCTGTGTTGTCAGCAGAATGATCACCAATACCTGAGTAGTTTGTGCACTGGTCTACTGTGTCATTAGCAAAATCAAGCTCCAGTTAGGGCTCCTTGTTCCATGCCTGTTTGGATGTCATAGTTTTAGGAGGGCAGTTGTAGTGGAGTTTAACTGACAACATTATTGTCTTGTAGGAAAATGGTAGACTAGGTGGGCAAAATGATGCTCCTGGTGGGTTCATGCTTACTATGATCTCTGCTTGGACAGGGATGTCTCTTTGGAGAAAAATTAGTCTGATGCCTTATGAATTCGTAAAGACTTATGACTTATTAATTTGTAAGGACTTATTAATTCGTAAGTGAGGAAATCTGCTTTTAAAAGTGAATTTCGTACAATGACCCAAGCAGTGTTGGTGTATTTTTGAAGGCCCTTATTTATTTGCAAATGTAAGAAGCAGCAACAATTAAGTACTATTGTCTTCTACAATATGGAGGCAAGAGTAAGTTAGTTAATTTGCTGCTTATATACTGTGAGGGTTTCTGTGTGTTGAGACTCGTCAGAGAAAAAAGATACAAAAGTGGTCTGTGGTTAGATGAGTTTTGAAATGGTATCGTATGAGATGGGGGAGGACATGTTTGAAGAAGTAACTATCACAATATCACAATCATTTCAAAAGCTGTAAATAATATTTTAAAGTGACACTAACAACCATGCTTGTCTAGCAGAATAATGTATTTTATTATAGCAGTCACACTAAAAGACTTACTATGATGACGACCATATCTCTCTGTCTGTCAAATGTTTTTGCCTTTAGATGTACTAGCACAAGTAGTGTTAGGTCTTGCATTCTTATATCCTGTGTACTTGTGAGAGTTTTGCTGAGCAAAGTTCTGGCAGTGTACTACTATCCTAAAAGACAGGAACTGTATGTTTTCAAGAGGGGCAGTGGAAGATTAACAGCAGCTGGCTTCCTAGAATAATTTAGCACTCTGAATATTATATTATTATAGGTGATTAAGTCAGCAACAGAAGTATTATCTCGTAAGTTTAGATAGATGTATTTAATCAGCTTTAACATAGACTGTGACGGCAGATAAGAACCATTTGGCCCATCTAGTCTGCCCAATTGTCTAAATACTTGCATTAGTCCCTAGCCTTATCTTATAGTTAGGATAGCCTTATGCATATCCCACACATGCTTAAACTCCTTTACTGTGTTAACCTCTACCACTTCAGCTGGAAGGCTATTCCATGCATCCACTACCCTCTCAGTAAAGTAATACTTCCTGATATTATTTTTAAACCTTTGTCCCTCTAATTTAAGACTATGTCCTCTTGTTGTGGTAGTTTTTCTTCTTTTAAATATAGTCTCCTCCTTTACTGTGTTGATTCCCTTTATTATTTAAATGTTTCTATCATATCCCCCCTGTCTCGTCTTTCCTCCAAGCTATACATGTTAAGATCCTTTAACCTTTCCTTGTAATTTTTATCCTGCAATCCATGAACCAGTTTAGTAGCCCTTCTCTGAACTCTCTCTAAACTTAAGTATCAATATCAAAAGCCTTGAAACCACTCTGAATCTGTGTGTTATGACTATCTTCTTTTCCCTTTTTTTCAGGGGTGCATTTTATATAAATTGAGGCCTCTTAAATTTACTTATAATTATTAAGCAAGGCATATATTCTGTCTAGTACTTTCAAATTCCTCTTTTCGCAACCCGACCAGTCAAAGGTTGTGAACCACTCTTGAAGGAAGCTCCAGGCTGCAATTTACTTTTTAAGAATGATATTGCCAATGCATTTATAAGATGTAGTGGTTATTTTACCAAGAGTGGGTGTTAAATTATTAGACGTACATTTGTTGCACTCTTCCTTGAACGAATCGATTTGTCCTGCTAAAAACCCTTTCAGTTTTTTGTTTTTTTTTTAACTGATCCTTAAGTTTAAAAATAAACTGTAATGGTTTCTAATCTGTATTAATTTGTTTAAGGAAGAGTACAATGAATGCACATACACTCACAAACCTGGATTTATTGCAGCAACAGTAGAGCTGGATGGTAGGTATGTATTCGCTTTAAGTCAATAGATGATTGATAATTGGTATAACTGGTGCATAAGTAGATGTTATTTGTTAAAGTTAACATTTTATAACAGGTTTGCTTTTAACCAGAAGGTAATATCCCTGTCCAAAAATATAGAACTGAAAAATGTTTCTTGTACATGACTAAGATAACATTAAATCTACTTGTTAGAACGGTCTACCAAATTGCAGACACTAGTAAAACAAATTGCACCCCAGAAATGTCAAACTTGTTTATAACATTCCGTATTTATTCCTAATTTCCAGTGGGAGGTATTTACACTGTTATCCAGACAAAAGCGAAGATCACCACAGACGAATGGGGAGAGAACTACTTCCTGATTGGTCCTTATTTCGAGCACAATGTGCGTACACAGGTTGAGCTGATTGAGCCTCCACATCCGGCTATCAAGAGAACACTCGGACTCAATGAACTCTAAGGGGTGTAAGGTAAGAAACGGCAACTTCTTCAGTGATGTGTACATGTTTAATTGTTTATTGGCATTTATTCCTCTAAGACAGCAACTAATGCTATAAATTAGTAATTATAGAAAAATACTTCTCTCTATTTGCTTGGGTAAAGGAATATGAGTATAAGTACTTGATACCTTGCAGTATAACAAACCATGTATATAAGTTCCCACCCACAACTGACATATAGATCCATTTTATTGTTTCAAAAAAGATTGTCTGCACATGTTCAATATTTCTTCATGTTCATAAGGTGGCACCTTCTAAAGAAGATCTTACATAGATCTTGGACTTAATTATCAGTCACTGCAAACCAAAACTAAAGAGTCATTCTAAGTATAACTCCTACAACCCATTGTGGTGTGTATAGTGTAAAGCGGCTATGAGTGCTGGAAAAACATTTCAGACACAAATTATTGGATACAAGCAGATAGTCCCCAAGGTAACAGGGGCCCAGGACCTTGTTCGGTGGACCATTGGATGTTATACTTCCCCATGACTGTTTTCATACAAATTTGTTTTTCAATATGTCTTTATTGGGAGGTAAAAAGGAACAAATATAAAATGTTTATCTTGTAGTATAAGCAACACAGGCAATGAAAATGAATAAAATAAGGTAAAATTAAGTGAAAGTAGTAAACCAGTAATGTATTTAAAATAAGTGAGTGACATAAATAATTACACATTCCTTTAGTTTTGCATTAAAATGTGTAACAGTAATATTAAGTATCATGAACAGTGGATAAGACTGGGGAAAAGAACACTTTCACATTAGTGGTATCTGGGGTTGGTCCAAGCTCTGGAATAAAATAGAGGTACAAAAGAGGAGAAAGGTGGCAGTCGGCAAAATAAAATAAGGGAAGGGGTTGGCTGAACAGGGGAGGATGGGACCTGTCTTTAGTAGCTTCTGCACAGTTAATTTGACATACCCATATTGATACTCTGTCAGTCTGTGTGTAATCCAGAAATTAAAATTTTGGTGGATGCCAATTGGCTACGCTTGTCAGCTGATTAGCTCCCAATCAGTGGCATCCATGTTTTGATGATAAAGCTGACATTACTAATGGGGAAGTGTGTACCTGTGCTGGACATACTTGTCTTAACCTATGGTCCAATTCTTGGCATACAGTCTTACAGTAGTTTTGCAAATTAGGAAAGGAGTGTAAAAGTCCATGAACGAGAGAAGAGCAGTTCGCTCTGAATGAGCCTCTCCTTAGAGGTTATGTAACAAGAGCAACACCTTATGGTGATTGCTCCACTTTTAGAGCTGCTCAGAATTATTCTGTATAAATAACACCTCGTGGGCCATGACTTTACCAGTTTGTTCTTAACCCTCTCTTAGTTCTTTCGTTTTGTCCAAGCCCACACAAGGGCATATTTGCGACTGAGTGTGGGTTAGGCAGGCTTTGTTTCTGTGACAGGGCACCTAATTTTGGATAAAGTTTAGATGCAAGCTTTTCTATGTGCAGGCCAAAAGATACCCAAGTATTTAAAAGAGTGCTGCGGTCAGTGTGCCATTTGGATATTTGTGTTTGACGGAATTGTGTAATTTGTGTAATTTTAGGTACTGTTCCAAAGATCATTGTGACAGTTTTGTCAGTGTTTAGGAAGAGTTTGTTTTTTGCGATCCACTTTTCTACGTCTGTAAACTGGTCTTGGAGCACAGGCTCAAGTTGCGGTAGATTGGATTTGCTCACATAGATTACCGTGTCATCTGCGTACATGTGTACATTTGAGGATTGGCAGACATTAGGCAGATCATTTATAAATAATGTAAATAGTAGGGGGCCGAGAATGGAACCCTGGGGAACCCCACACTTGACTGGGAGAGGGAGGGAGTCACTGTCAGAAATGGGCACATATTGCGAGCGATCCGAAACATACAATCGAAACCAGTTTAGAGAATGATCACCAATACCTGAGTTTTTGAGTTTGTGCAGTAGAATGTTGTGGTCTACTGTGTCAAAGGCCTTAGCAAAATCAAGAAAAATAGCTCCAGTTAGGGCTCCTTGTTCCATGCCAGTTTGGATGTCATAGCAAACTTTTAGGAGGGCAGTTGTAGTGGAGTTTAACTGACAACATTATTGTCTTTTTAATGTAGGAAAATGGTAGACTAGCCTTTCAAAGTAACTTTCTGTGGGCAAAATTATTATTACTCAATGATGCTCCTGGTGAGTTCATGTTTACTATGATCTCTGCTTGGACAGGGATGTCTCTTTGGAGAAAAATTAGTCTGATGCCTTATGAATTCGTAAAGACTTATGACTTATTAATTTGTAAGGACTTATTAATTCGTAAGTGAGGAAATCTGCTTTTAAAAGTGAATTTCGTACAATGACCCAAGCAGTGTTGGTGTATTTTTGAAGGCCCTTATTTATTTGCAAATGTAAGAAGCAGCAACAATTAAGTACTATTGTCTTCTACAATATGGAGGCAAGAGTAAGTTAGTTAATTTGCTGCTTATATACTGTGAGGGTTTCTGTGTGTTGAGACTCGTCAGAGAAAAAAGATACAAAAGTGGTCTGTGGTTAGATGAGTTTTGAAATGGTATCGTATGAGATGGGGGAGGACATGTTTGAAGAAGTAACTATCACAATATCACAATCATTTCAAAAGCTGTAAATAATATTTTAAAGTGACACTAACAACCATGCTTGTCTAGCAGAATAATGTATTTTATTATAGCAGTCACACTAAAAGACTTACTATGATGACGACCATATCTCTCTGTCTGTCAAATGTTTTTGCCTTTAGATGTACTAGCACAAGTAGTGTTAGGTCTTGCATTCTTATATCCTGTGTACTTGTGAGAGTTTTGCTGAGCAAAGTTCTGGCAGTGTACTACTATCCTAAAAGACAGGAACTGTATGTTTTCAAGAGGGGCAGTGGAAGATTAACAGCAGCTGGCTTCCTAGAATAATTTAGCACTCTGAATATTATATTATTATAGGTGATTAAGTCAGCAACAGAAGTATTATCTCGTAAGTTTAGATAGATGTATTTAATCAGCTTTAACATAGACTGTGACGGCAGATAAGAACCATTTGGCCCATCTAGTCTGCCCAATTGTCTAAATACTTGCATTAGTCCCTAGCCTTATCTTATAGTTAGGATAGCCTTATGCATATCCCACACATGCTTAAACTCCTTTACTGTGTTAACCTCTACCACTTCAGCTGGAAGGCTATTCCATGCATCCACTACCCTCTCAGTAAAGTAATACTTCCTGATATTATTTTTAAACCTTTGTCCCTCTAATTTAAGACTATGTCCTCTTGTTGTGGTAGTTTTTCTTCTTTTAAATATAGTCTCCTCCTTTACTGTGTTGATTCCCTTTATGTATTTAAATGTTTCTATCATATCCCCCCTGTCTCGTCTTTCCTCCAAGCTATACATGTTAAGATCCTTTAACCTTTCCTTGTAATTTTTATCCTGCAATCCATGAACCAGTTTAGTAGCCCTTCTCTGAACTCTCTCTAAACTTAAGTATCAATATCAAAAGCCTTGAAACCACTCTGAATCTGTGTGTTATGACTATCTTCTTTTCCCTTTTTTTCAGGGGTGCATTTTATATAAATTGAGGCCTCTTAAATTTACTTATAATTATTAAGCAAGGCATATATTCTGTCTAGTACTTTCAAATTCCTCTTTTCGCAACCCGACCAGTCAAAGGTTGTGAACCACTCTTGAAGGAAGCTCCAGGCTGCAATTTACTTTTTAAGAATGATATTGCCAATGCATTTATAAGATGTAGTGGTTATTTTACCAAGAGTGGGTGTTAAATTATTAGACGTACATTTGTTGCACTCTTCCTTGAACGAATCGATTTGTCCTGCTAAAAACCCTTTCAGTTTTTTGTTTTTTTTTTAACTGATCCTTAAGTTTAAAAATAAACTGTAATGGTTTCTAATCTGTATTAATTTGTTTAAGGAAGAGTACAATGAATGCACATACACTCACAAACCTGGATTTATTGCAGCAACAGTAGAGCTGGATGGTAGGTATGTATTCGCTTATAAGTCAATAGATGATTGATAATTGGTATAACTGGTGCATAAGTAGATGTTATTAGTTAAAGTTAACCTTTTATAACAGGTTTGCTTTTAACCAGAAGGTAATATCCCTGTCCAAAAATATAGAACTGAAAAATGTTTCTTGTACATGACTAAGATAACATTAAATCTACTTGTTAGAACGGTCTACCAAATTGCAGACACTAGTAAAACAAATTGCACCCCAGAAATGTCAAACTTGTTTATAACATTCCGTATTTATTCCTAATTTCCAGTGGGAGGTATTTACACTGTTATCCAGACAAAAGCGAAGATCACCACAGACGAATGGGGAGAGAACTACTTCCTGATTGGTCCTTATTTCGAGCACAATGTGCGTACACAGGTTGAGCTGATTGAGCCTCCACATCCGGCTATCAAGAGAACACTGGACTCAATGAACTCTAAGGGGTGTAAGGTAAGAAACGGCAACTTCTTCAGTGATGTGTACATGTTTAATTGTTTATTGGCATTAATTCCTCTGAGACAGCAACTAATGCAGGACATAAATTAGTAATTATAGAAAAATACTTCTCTCTATTTGCTTGGGTAAAGGAAGATGAGTATAAGTACTTGATACCTTGCAGTATAACAAACCATGTATATAAGTTCCCACCCACAACTGACCTATAGATCCATTTTATTGTTTCAAAAAAGATTGTCTGCACATGTTCAATATTTCTTCATGTTCATAAGGTGGCACCTTCTAAAGAAGATCTTACATAGATCTTGGACTTAATTATCAGTCACTGCAAACCAAAACTAAAGAGTCATTCTAAGTATAACTCCTACAACCCATTGTGGTGTGTATAGTGTAAAGCGGCTATGAGTGCTGGAAAAACATTTCAGACACAAATTATTGGATACAAGCAGATAGTCCCCAAGGTAACAGGGGCCCAGGACCTTGTTCGGTGGACCATTGGATGTTATACTTCCCCATGACTGTTTTCATACAAATTTGTTTTTCAATATGTCTTTATTGGGAGGTAAAAAGGAACAAATATAAAATGTTTATCTTGTAGTATAAGCAACACAGGCAATGAAAATGAATAAAATAAGGTAAAATTAAGTGAAAGTAGTAAACCAGTAATGTATTTAAAATAAGTGAGTGACATAAATAATTACACATTCCTTTAGTTTTGCATTAAAATGTGTAACAGTAATATTAAGTATCATGAACAGTGGATAAGACTGGGGAAAAGAACACTTTCACATTAGTGGTATCTGGGGTTGGTCCAAGCTCTGGAATAAAATAGAGGTACAAAAGAGGAGAAAGGTGGCAGTCAACTAGGCAAAATAAAATAAGGGAAGGGGTTGGCTAGAACAGGGGAGGATGGGACCTGAGCCCTCTTTAGTAGCTTCTGCACAGTTAATTTGACATACCCATATTGATACTCTGTCAGTCTGTGTGTAATCCAGAAATTAAAATTTTGATCAAATGTGGATGCCATTGATTGGCTACGCTTGTCAGCTGATTAGCTCAGCCAATCAGTGGCATCCATGTTTTGATGATAAAGCTGACATTACTAATGGGGAAGTGTGTACATTAAATGTCTGTGCTGGACATACTTGTCTTAACCTATGGTTTATTGTAAGAGATATATGTGCAATGATACTTGTGTAATTCTTGGCACAGCAATACAGTCTTACAGTAGTTTTGCAAATTAGTTCTACTTTGAAAGGAGTGTAAAAGTCCATGAACCTAATCTCCTCAGAGAGAAGAGCAGTTTAATGTTTTGCAAAGCTCTGAATGATTTTACTGCCTTGGTACAGACTCCTTAGAGGTTATGTAACAAGAGCAATTGTAGAGCAAAGTTCTAAAATCAGAACAAGGAATAAAAACATTCTGTTGGTCTCCATGGTGATTGCTCCACTTTTAGAGCTCTGCTCCCAGAATTATTCTGTATAAATAACACACTCGTGTCATGCCTTATGACTTTACCAGTTTGTTCTTTTAACTCCTCTCTTAGTTCTTTCCCTGTTTGTGTCTAAGCTCTGTCACAAGTTTGGGCACTAAATTTAGCGACCCTCTGGAGTGACCTGGTGTTAGGCAGGGATTTTGTTTCTGCCTGACTAAAAGGTCAGTACTCCAATTCTAGACTATGTTTATATGAGGTCGCACATTCCTACTTTTAAGCTTGTAGATAGTGTTTGGGGTCTGTTCTCACTACAATCACAGCTGTGAGCTGAGAAGGTGACCGTCTTGGAGTCTGGAAGCTGTGGCTAGAGATCATCGCTGTCATGTGAAGGTCATTGATCTTTAAGCCTGCACGCTGTAATTACAACATGAGTATATCAAGCTGTTTATTAAGTGTCGTAGAAATGCATTTACAAGATGAGCCAAAAATATAGTGTGTTCCTCATTGACTCATATCTTACCAGAAAGAATATATGTGTAAAATACAAATACATCTCTTCTATCAGATCTCTAACACTTCTCTCCATTAACAAATGTAGAGGAGAGACAGATGTCAATGATTACATTGACATAGTAATTACATTTCAAAGGCGGCTGCTGATTTCTATGGATAGCAAGGATTTGTGTAAAGCTTTCTAGCGTTTGAGAAAGTTGTTTGAGAGGATATATTGTAGGATGCGTGTTCTATTTACCATTAGGATAGTCAAAAGGAATATCTCCAGCCGTTGTAGTTCTGCAACAACTATGATGCTTTGCCATCCTAAGACAAAGTGACAAAAATTTCTACAACACCCATGGGCACCTCTCGGTAAAAACATTATATTTTTCTTTTATCAAAGAAAAGAGAGAATAGAATTATTCTGCATAATTTTCTCTCTTTAAGTTATATATAGCCCTAGCCCATTTTTCCTGTACTCCCAACATTTTGTTTTTGTCATCCCTTGCGATAGAATTTATTGAATTTTTTTTTTTTTTAATATATATGTTTTTATGAATTAGTCCATAGAAGCGACGAGAGTGATTGAACCATTTAATGTTTAGTAATGTTACATTCTGTGTGAGGCACTGAGCATCTGGATTTATCCACTAAGAAGTTTGTTGTTTGCGAACTAAAGCCCTTTTTTCGAAAACATCACACTGTAGTAAATTAAAATAAATAAATAAATTAGGCCAAAATAATAGATTTTTCATTTTTTTGAAAACAGTAGCTCTATACACCTGTGTGGAATACCCTCTCATCCACACCCAAAATACAACCACCTCAAATTGGTATAATTTAAACATATACGCCTTAAGTGGAGCATTAAATAAGAAATATATCTGTGTGAGGTAACTTACCCCACATTATCTTATTAAAATCGTGAATAGGTGGTACATATAAAAGATAAAAATAAATACAATATAGTGCAGATGGCATTAAAAATGGAATATAACCTTCTGTCCTCCACTTCCACCATGGTATACACTCGCTATACCATATACCAAAGAATGGCTAACTATATTTGAGAGGCTACGCATGTAGAGACCGCGTGTAAAGTTCCTTACAGATGGGATATGGTACCGCAAAAGCTAGCACAAATGTACAATACGGTTTCCAGCTTCTGCTGGAGAGGCGAGGACAGCATATGATCCATGGAACATGTATGGTGGACATGCCCACTGATCTAAACATCTGGAAAGATATAGCATCTCATTACAAAAACACTAACATCACTTTGCCTCATGAACCACATGTGACGAAATGCCTTTTTGACCCTGGATTGTTAGGTGACAAGCTGCCCTTTGCCCCTGGCTTTTGGAGGAGCCTGATTACCAGCCTCCTTCCTCATGACTATGGCCCTGTGGTGTATTGCCATTTAAAAAGACTATTTGGGGCTTATTGGCTTCTATAGACAGTTTCTGCCCATTTGAATCCATGGGAAGGTGTGTTTCTTCCCCTCCCCCGTTTCCTGTCTATTGTTCTCCAGCAGGGCGTTGTCCCAGGCACACTGCCAGTTGGAACTGACTGCTTTTGTCCCTCCTTGGTTTTTCAACTGCCCTTGCTATGCTTTACCCCGTGGAAAATCTACTCTGTTCATGGGATCTGAGTACTGTTCACCTAGATTGGGCGCTCAGATCCGAGCTATCTGGGGATAGGTTAAATGTGGGGGTTCTGTGTAATAAAATAAGAATTATGTATTTTTATGTACTTTTACGTATTTTTGCTGTTAGTGTAAAATGTAGATATTTTCTGTACCTGGAGATAATTGAGTTTACTGCAGTGCCTTAAGCCAATTATCTCCAGGATGTAGAGGAGGGATTTCATTGTGTATGTGGGAGTGTTATTACAGGGAGTGCCGAATTATTAGGCAAATGAGTATTTTGACCACATCATCCTCTTTATTCATGTTGTCTTACTCCAAGCTGTATAGGCTCGAAAGCCTACTACCAATTAAGCATATTAGGTGATGTGCATCTCTGTAATGAGAAGGGGTGTGGTCTAATGACATCAACACCCTATATCAGGTGTGCATAATTATTAGGCAACTTCCTTTCCTTTGGCAAAATGGGTCAAAAGAAGGACTTGACAGGCTCAGAAAAGTCAAAAATAGTGAGATATCTTGCAGAGGGATGCAGCACTCTTAAAATTGCAAAGCTTCTGAAGCGTGATCATCGAACAATCAAGCGTTTCATTCAAAATAGTCAACAGGGTCGCAAGAAGCGTGTGGAAAAACCAAGGCGCAAAATAACTGCCCATGAACTGAGAAAAGTCAAGCGTGCAGCTGCCACGATGCCACTTGCCACCAGTTTGGCCATATTTCAGAGCTGCAACATCACTGGAGTGCCCAAAAGCACAAGGTGTGCAATATTCAGAGACATGGCCAAGGTAAGAAAGGCTGAAAGACGACCACCACTGAACAAGACACACAAGCTGAAACATCAAGACTGGGCCAAGAAATATCTCAAGACTGATTTTTCTAAGGTTTTATGGACTGATGAAATGAGAGTGAGTCTTGATGGGCCAGATGGATGGGCCCGTGGCTGGATTGGTAAAGGGCAGAGAGCTCCAGTCCGACTCAGATGCCAGCAAGGTGGAGGTGGAGTACTGGTTTGGGCTGGTATCATCAAAGATGAGCTTGTGGGGCCTTTTCGGGTTGAGGATGGAGTCAAGCTCAACTCCCAGTCCTACTGCCAGTTCCTGGAAGACACCTTCTTCAAGCAGTGGTACAGGAAGAAGTCTGCATCCTTCAAGAAAAAACATGATTTTCATGCAGGACAATGCTCCATCACACGCGTCCAAGTACTCCACAGCGTGGCTGGCAAGAAAGGGTATAAAAGAAGAAAATCTAATGACATGGCCTCCTTGTTCACCTGATCTGAACCCCATTGAGAACCTGTGGTCCATCATCAAATGTGAGATTTACAAGGAGGGAAAACAGTACACCTCTCTGAACAGTGTCTGGGAGGCTGTGGTTGCTGCTGCACGCAATGTTGATGGTGAACAGATCAAAACACTGACAGAATCCATGGATGGCAGGCTTTTGAGTGTCCTTGCAAAGAAAGGTGGCTATATTGGTCACTGATTTGTTTTTGTTTTGTTTTTGAATGTCAGAAATGTATATTTGTGAATGTTGAGATGTTATATTGGTTTCACTGGTAATAATAAATAATTGAAATGGGTATATATTTGTTTTTTGTTAAGTTGCCTAATAATTATGCACAGTAATAGTCACCTGCACACACAGATATCCCCCTAACATAGCTATAACTAAAAACAAACTAAAAACTACTTCCAAAAATATTCAGCTTTGATATTGAGTTTTTTGGGTTCATTAAGAACATGGTTGTTGTTCAATAATAAAATTAATCCTTAAAAATACAACTTGCCTAATAATTCTGCACTCCCTGTATGTTAATTAGTGTTCCCATTGGTTTGTGTCCCTTTTGTCACAGTTTACCACCAGGTCCAGGGGGTGTGCCTCTGGCCTGAAAACTTGTATATAAGGAGTAATAAACGCTCATTGGAGTCAGATCATCTTGTACCTTCATGAAGTTTCGGCTCATGTTTGGGGATTGGAGAAACTACACTCTGGGTATTGCTATAATCACTATACTCCCCAGGGTATAATCACTAAGCTCTGCTAAGAGCTTGTTCCTGTTCCTGCTCTCTGGAATTCGGAGAGAGGTCGACCTGCTGGAAGCTGGACCCTGGTCCTGGGTCCAGAGTGGGTGGAGACGGCGAGACCCCAACCAAGCTGCGGCGGTTCGTGGGGTCTGCAGTGGTTATGGTGTCAGGCAGAGTGCTTGGAGTCCTCGGAAAGCACTAGGAGCATCCTTGGCGGAAGGTACCTGGTCAGGGTGCCAGCGGTTCCGTTACACCACACTACTACCTTCTTCATCATTTCCCACTAAAAACCTTGTGTACTGACAGGTATTTAATATTCCATATCACAACATCAGCCCTTCAGACCATAGCTCAGACCATACGAATTCCATCCATTAGCTCCTGCATAACCTTACTAAAAGAAACGGAACTCTACGAATGCAAATACAGGGAAAACTTGCACTCCAAAACATACTGGTTTAACGCATGGGATAAATGGAATACTCACATACTAGTGGACAACTGTCAACCTTCCACTAGAACCCTACCTCAGGCAAGCGAGGTCCGACAGCCGTGTGCATGCTAACTATTACATGAACATATACAAAACCATTACTATGTAATAAAATTATATCAAAAAAATAAAATAAACATACATTGACTTCACTGAATTGTCTGACCTGACAACTTAGTTCATACTAAAGACATCCAGTGCTTAATACGCAGACTATCCCCACGAGAAAGGAAACCTGCCACACATGGAATTGATGTCACCTGATGGAAAGTGATTACTGTCCACCACTACTAGCGTAAAAGTAAGCCCCAGGCCCCTCCAGTCCACTAAGAGCGGAGATGGTCTAGACCCTATGATTTTAACCAGTTACCCAATTTAAAGGGTAAATCCCTTGAACAGAACTGTGACAAACCACATCCACAACCTGGTGCTTACATATTCTCCCCCCCCCCCAACCCCCCTCCAAGTTCTAAACCCCTTATAAAATAAAATCCTGTAGTGGTATACGACACCCTAGAAATTCTCTCGGGGACTATGAGTCCACTGGATGGCAATAACCTTATAAATGTACAAATAGTGTTGATGTATCTTTACTGCAATGTTTACACCCAAAATGATTATATGTGTAACTTAACATATGTACCATTGTGAGCTTGTTAAAATGCAAAATGTAAAAAAAATTGAATATTTAGAATCTTGAGTAATAAAAATTCTTAAAGCGACTCTGTCACCAAAACGGTTTCATTTTTGTCAAAGAAAGACTTTGGTTTCAATGTGGCAATGCAATAAAATCTTAAAGGGTACAACAAGCACCATGATCACTTCAGAGATTTAAAGTGGTCATGGTGTCTGGGGTCTGTATGTGCAGCATTTCACTGTGAGAGATACTAAGTTTAACCACTTGGAAACTATAGGTGTAACCTCACCTCCGGCAGCATCATGGAGCATCATCAGCCAGTCCAGAAGGAGTGTTCGGGCTGGTTAATGTCAGTTCTGTGAAATTTCTTTACACAGGCATTCATTGGCTGAGAGCTGTCAGCTGACATTTTAAGCCAATGAATGAGCAGCCGGATCAACATCTGGCTTCTGCATCTCTGCAGAAACTAGATGTTGTAAACATGCCTACATCAGAAACCTGGAAGGGTCATGTAAACTGGCAAACCATTGTAAAACAGTTTGCCCAATTACTGGGGAACGGCATTAGGTTACTCCTACCATCATTACCACTACAGCAAGCTGGAGTGATTATGATGGTTGTATCAATCCTTTAAGGAAAACCTGTACTTTTAAATCCTTTTTGTTTCTCAATGATTAGGGTTGCCACGAGTGGTTGAATCCTGACGCTTGGCTGCTTGCAATGTTTTAAAGTATTATATTTTTAGGGTTTGTAGTTGTATATGCATAAATCTTTGTCACTGACAGGGCCAGATTAACATAGGTGCTGATGGAGTTGCAGCTCTAGGCCCATTCCCATTGGTTTAAAAATATATAAAAAAAAAATAAAAAATTTGAGGCTGCCAATACAAATGCTGATCTTTTTTTCAGTATAAACAGAGATTACTCTTCAATACCAATGCCGGACAGTAGGTCGCTGTGTGTGGAGAGAGGCATGGATAGGAAGCTACAGCATATGCATGCCTTTCTCGACTCACTGATCCGTGATGGAGCAGCAACACCGCACAGATAGTCCAGACAGCAGCTTCCTGCCTGCAGAGACAGCCTACAGCTCAGGTAGGGAGACACAATAGGGGGCTCTGGGAGACATGGAGACATTGGGACACTGGGAAACATGAAGAAACTGAGACACTAAGGACACAGTGTCCCTTAGTCTGTGTCCCCATGTCTCCTAGTGTCTCTGGTGTCTGTTACTAGAAGACATGGGAGACATGGGGACACACACTAGCAGAAACTGGGTGACATTGGGGACTGAGAAACTGTGATCCATGGGAACACTGATACATAGCGGAACAAACTGTAAGAAATTTCTTAGTGATTTTACAGCATATTCTCTTATGTCACTCCTTGTGATTTACATGATGTCACGTATACATAATTAAGTATGCAAATTAGTAAGACTAGTATTTTTTTTTTTCCAAGAAAGATGGCAACCGTAACTGCTCTTTACATACTCTTGCTTAAGTATGGAAGCTTAAGAGGGATGTATGGGTACAAAACTTGTGTGGATTGGCTGACAATGAAATTAGTTGAGGTAATGCTGACTTTGGTCTCTCTAACACTGTGGCATGTCCCCTTTCTTCTACACTCACTACATTCAGTAGTCCTTAGAAAGCGTTGAGCGAACGCATCATTAGACACATTTATGCCAAGCTCAGGGTGCTGTCTGCATAGTATGCCCTTAGTTGCACAGCCTGCATGATTAGCAGGCAGTCTGACATGCATTCATGCCAGTCTGGCCTTTCAATTCTTCGGGCAGACATGCCCCGTTTGCATGTTCGCCCCTTTCGGCAGTTTTGGTTTACGTGATTCTCTCCAGGACCATCTCCATCAGATACATGACGCTTGGGAGGCATGACTGTTTGTGTTTTCTGTCTATAAGATTCTGTAGTTAGGACCATCATAATTGTCCACACGAGGCCCACTGGGCTCTTAATCTGGCCCTGGTCACTGATCCCATTCCCTAGTGTGGGTTATTGCCCAATCTGTCTTTTTATGTCATTCTTTAAAAAAAGAATTGAGTTAGCTGTTTGTGCTATTAGACTGTCCCATTAACACCAAATAGTTATTAACTTGTGTTTGGTTTTTTGTTGTTGTTTTTTTTATTTTATTTTTCTAAGAAAGGGGAAAAAGAAACCCACACGTGCTATGTGTATCGAATGCATAGCTATTTTGAATAAAGGCCTGCATGTACTCACATACAGCATTGTGGGAGGAAGGCCATCTGGTGAATATTGCATCCCTAGAACACACAGAAATGCAAACCCCTGCACGCATGCATACCAATAAAAAACAACAAAAAAAACAGGTGGTGTAAATAGTTAATAGTGATTGAAGAACTTCAGTTCTATGCGTCAGAATTCCAAATGTCAGTTTTTTCAGTTGTTTATACAGTCTGCAGCAGTGTCATCCATACAGCTTCATTAATTTAATTGTCTTATTGTGTATAAAGTACAAGATTCTCTTTGACCCAAAGTTACACAGGTTACTGTCATGTTATTAGTATAACTGCCTCACTGGAGTATTTCTTCCCCACCCCCAAAAAACTACCATTATTAAAAAAATAATTTACATGCCCAATAGGTGGCCATTAGACCAGTTTAGCTAACTAATCAATCCCAGTATATTAAGACCGATTTCCTCTTTTCTGAAGACCCATTGGTTTGCTTTCCTATGAACTGTGGCCCCTGATTGAAAAACACAACAGTGAGCCCATAGCAGGTTCTGATATGGAGCATGATAGACCCTGGTATGTTATATAGATTTCTGTCTAACTCTCTGTCATTGTTTGTGTTCTTTTGCTATAAGATACCTTATTTTGTCTGCTTTTCTGCTATCATGTATACAACTCCAGATTGTTTTAGATATACTTCCTTCCTCCCCATCTCCCTGGTTCTCTAAATTAGTGTTTTCTTAACACGTCCCAGGGATCAGGGATTCGTGCAGCCAGCCAACAGGTCCAAAAACTCGATTACTGGAATTCGAAAACCAAATAGGACACACAGATCCCAACTGAACTCACCCACAATGCTTTATTTACACTTGGGACTAGCTCCTATCCACATTACACTACACCTATGGTGACTCATTCAAGCCAGTACATAAAGCATTGTCACGTGGGAAATCATACAGGCACACAAAACAATATTTATAAAGGGGTAGGGAATACAAACCCTGAGAAGAATTGCATCCCCTGCCTGCATATGTCATAATATGCACTGAGGCACTGAACATTCCCCATAGAGATGCATCTCTATGAGGTGATGCTGATGGGACAGCGTGGCATTTTGTCATATATATATATTTATGCACAGTAGCCTCCCAAATTATTTTCTTTGGTAAAGCATTGGATTGACTGAGATCATCAAATTTGATGCTCTAAGACAGGGGTAGGCAACCTATGGCACGTGTGCCATGCACGGCACTCAAGGCTGCTAGAGCCAAACAGGCTCTGGCCCATCAGGAGTCCCAGTGAAACTTCAGATATCTGCAAATACGAAAAGGTGGTGAAGGACAATCCTCAATTTATGCATTGCAGCACGTAGAAGAGGTGATCTCAGATCACTTTCTCCCAGCACTTGTGAATGGGAATCCACACTGTAGTAGAGCAGTCTGCAGCTGCTGTTGCAACTCCTGTCCTTGACCTGTATTTGGCCGGCCTGGTCCCCACTGGAACCCAGGGAAGCCAACCACAGATATACACAGAGATGCAGAATAACCCTCCCTTCATACACATAATACCAACATCCGACACACAAACATACACACCATCCACACAAACTCAACACCACTAACAATCCACATACATGCACACAACCCCACATGCAGCCTCTCACATGCAATATTCCAAACAGCCCCCACACATACACACACTGTGATCCATACACAATGAAACTACTCATGAACATATACAATATAAGCGCTCATATTTGCACAAATACAACAATACAAATCAACTGCAGTATAAATAACACAAGCAGAATACAGCAAAATGCACACCTCAATTTAAAAAAAATAGGACCTGCACACTATGGGACATCACAATCTTATTTCGGCACAGTGCTGCTAAAAGGTTGCCTGCCTCTGCTCTAAGACATAAAGGCGGAGTCAGACAGGGCCAGCCGCATCGAGACCAGAACGGCGTGGGAGAAAAGGTGAGTAAATTCACTTTTAAACTCCAGAGAGGAGTGGGCATGGACCTAATGCAGCATTCTAGCACTATCGTGCCAGGAATACAAGGACACTATAGTGTCCTTTTAAGCAACTCACTTTTCTCCCAAGAAGGACATGCCTTGGTAAAGCCCTCACAACTCATTGCATGTAGAATGACTGTTGGTGATTAATCCTGTTACTTTATATCTCTTCCTGAATCCTTTGTATGTGCTTGCGGTTACACAAAAGTAACTTTAAAACTGGATACTTTGTCTTCCAAATAATGTACCATATAGCCAGATATTGCATTGTGACAAAAGCACAACATACTAGCTTTACTTTGTTTACAACTGTGACGGAGCTCCTGTACTCAGACAAAGTACCTCCATCCTGTCTGATCCTAGCCACTTGCTGGGACCATGGAACGATTCAGACCCTAGTCACCGAGGCTTGACTGAGGTCCCTTTGGATGTTTCCCACCCGACCAGGCTGTAGCTTTCCTTTTATCTTCTCCTCTGTCTATGCAGCTGCAGCTCTTCTTCCAGGCAGGTATCCACCTCTGCCTGAAATGTAATTATAGCTATTGCCTTTACAATGGTATCTGCGGCTCTCGGGCCTAGCTCTCTTGCTTTATCCCAGGGCTAGAGGGCTCGTGTAGCCAGCCAACCGGTCCAAAGACTCTGTCACTGGGATCCCTAAAAAAAACATTGTCGGATGTCATGTGCAATGAAATGTGTAAATGTAGGATCTTACATTGCATTTTTTTCTGGTTCTTGTTTTCTGGTGCAGTTAGGTAGAGCATAATTTGACTGGAGATAATTTTGTGTCTTTCATTTTATAGTCTTAAAGGGACACTCCAAACACCATAACTTCAAACTATAAGCTATACTATGCCTTATAGTTATGATTGTGATGCAACAAAGCTGTCTGTGAAATTTACTTTAAGAATTTATATTTCTAAGGAATCCTTGACAATACTACAACCATGACTGTATCATTATTTTTGGAAATACATAGATACCCATTCCGCTAATGAAGTACCTGTTCAGTGCACTGCTTATTACTGTGCAGGGCAGTGTCCGGAACCTGTGGTAACTGAACAGTGCGCATGCACACAGTGCTATCCCCCACCTATTCTAAACAGAAGCAACAGTTCGCTGAGATCCTATCAAGCAGTGCTGTGTGCACTTAGAACAGATTTTAATGTTAACGAGGTATTGAAATGGCACGGAATAAAATTTATTGGATGTGCCATTTTTTTCAAATGCATCAGACCTTCGTTTACCCCATTTTCGTGAGACACCATGCTATTGTACATTCTTCGAGTCCATATAAAGTTGAATTTGTTGGAGGTGGCATCTGTGAATTATTTAATATATTACGATCAGTCTGTAACTTTCCATCTCAAAAAGACAGTGTAATCCCATTCATTCTATATGAAGGTCATTGTAGTCAATAAACATTGATATATCCTATGACATCAGAGCAATAGTTGGGAGCCCACAGCTACCCCTGCAGTTATCTACTAGAGATCAGCTGAGCACCTTCTCGCTGCTCTTGACCAGGGTAATAGCAATGCTTGTTGAGCTGTAAAAAACGCTTGAGGTAGTAGAGATTTATATCATGCAACACATGTAAACATTTATAATGTATTGCATGTATAATGTCTGCTAAATAATGCAGTGCTGCCTCTTTTTTTTTTTTTTTCTTACACTGCAGAGCCATAATTTGCTTTGCCACTTAAAGGAAAACCATGCATGGTTTATTAAGACAGTTGTGTGTGTTTAAAGGAATATGCAGGGATATGATGTCCTATCTGTGTGTACTCCACCAGCTTGCCTTTGACACAGCAGGAGTTTAAAAAAAACAAACCATGACAGCAGGTTTGTGGGAGACATATAAGGCTGTCACTGCTCACACAACACTCCACCAGCCAGCCAGGAACATGACTGTATGTAATCACAAACTGCCCATCCAGTTTACATTGCTGGACCCAAGCCATTCAGCCCCAGCCAGCATTTAGCAAACAAAGAATGATAGAAGCTGAACTACATAACATAGAGGCTGTAAGTCAGAAAGTATAAGTGAATGTTACATAGGCTGAAATGAGACAAGCGTCAATCAGGTTCAACCTTTATCACATCTGTTTGTGCTGTTGATCCAAAAGAACAGTTTGGAGCTCTTTCCAGTTTTGCAACAAACTAGGAAAAAAATCCTTATTGACCCTAGAATGGTTTTAACCCCTTCAGCCCAGCGGGAGGGGAGCCCTGACGTTGGTGGGGAACTAATGACCCTATAGTGCCTGGAAAACATGTTTGTTTTCCTGGCACTATAGTGGTCCTTTAAGTTTGCTTTTATGTGTGAGGAGTGTGATTTATATATATATATTTTAAAAATATATATATTTATTTTTTCATTTACATTTTTTTTTTCTTTTTCCGAAAAGTACAGATTTCAATAGAAATTGACACTTTTATAAATTAACCTGGTTACACCCCACTGGCTTTTAAGCAGACATCAGCTAATGTTTCTTCCTGGTTCCGTTCGCTCAGTGCAACTGACCTCAAGAGGCAGCAATTGCCCAGAGCACCTAGCTTACAAAGACTTCTCATTAACCTCCCATTACTGCATTGGCCATCCACAGAAAGTCTGGGCGGGGTTAGAAGGGGAGCACTTACAAAGGCAGCAGACAAGCAGGTTTTGCAAGCTGATTTTAGATATAACCCTATTGGAAAAAATACATAATTAACTGCATACAAGTTTTCATTTGAAAGTATATCTACTTAACAGTGAATTTTATTTATTTTGTGTTTGGACAGTGGAGTGTCCCTGTACTCCAAGGATAAGCATTTTCATCTAGACCAATTTCTTTTAGTTTGAACACTAACCTATTGTCATGTATTCATACGAACATAAAAATGTGGTTAATGCCATTTACTGTCCTGACAGGAAAAGTTGTGCCGAGCAGCAATCCAATCCACGGGAGGGTTTGTGCTGAGCAGCAATCATGCAAATGGAAACCTGGTAATTGCCTTTGGGGTCAAAGGCCGGTTACAGCCAATCAGATCCACAGGAGGGTTATTTAGGCCCAGTTTTCCACTTGCTTAGTGCCCTGTCGTGGTTTCATGCCTATGGTTATCCGAATGCTTTCCTGATCTTGATTTTCTAGTATTTGACTTTGGCTTTGTTTTGACTTCCCTGATATCTGGTATCTTTGACTTTTGGCTTTCCCTCATCTTTGTGTCTGATTCTGTGTCCCTGACCTCTGCTAGTATTTTGACTTTTCTTGGAGACGTTAAGTCCGGCCATTTTAAGGTCCAGTTATACGTTATCCTTAGTCCTAGGTGTGACAAAGTACTGCGTGTTGGATCAACTTGTAATCCTGATGCCTATAGTGTGAAACTTTATCAAATGCCTTTGTAAAATCCAAGTAGATCACATCCACTGCAATATGATCTATACTTCTACTTACGTCTTCATAGAATGTAATTAGGTTAGATTGACATAACCTATGTTTCATAAAACCATGCAGATTTTTTTTTTTTTTTGCTGATAATGTTCTTCCCAATGAAATCCTGGATATTATCCCTTAATAACCCTTCAAATACATTCCCAGCCACAGAAGCGAAGATCACAGATCTCCAATCCTCCGGTACAATTACTAATGGCTATTTTTATCCCGCATATTTGGCGTCCTAATGACCTCTATTAGGGAACAGTAGGCTGCTGTGATGTAGGCAACTTCCCATACATTTAATCAGATTTTTGGGACATTGCCCAAAAATCTGATTAGTTTTTTTTTTTTTTTTAAATATATTTTTCCAAGCAACAGCAGAGGGAAATAACAAGGGGAAATTAAGTACTAATATTTAAAGGGACATAACACATTTTATCACACACGCATAATAAAGATGTTCGCTTACAAAAAAAGTAAGCCAAACAAAAAAAAATTGTATAGTTTTATTTTTATTCTATATATTATTACAGTCAATCTGGATAATGCAGTGTGTACTGGAACAATCTTTTTATTCCCTCCCCACGCCCCAGTGAAATCCCAACAGTGATTTTACATATAGAGCATATAAAGAAGTTAGGAAAGGCTAGGAAAGAGGAGCTGCATGTTAATATATTACATTTGCTATGGTAAAATGTGCTTTACATTGTACTAAAGCAACATGCCTTCTAAAATAACCATTTCTGCATTTCTTTTGTCCAGGTGTATTTTGGCCGTTGGTTGATAGAAGGTAGTCCCTACGTGATCCTCATCGATATTGCAGCGACAGCCTGGAGCCTTGACCGCTGGAAAACGGAGTTGTGGGATAGCTGCGCCATTGGAATTCCGTGGTATGATCGTGAAGCCAATGATGCTGTCCTCTTTGGTTTTCTTACAGCCTGGTTCCTTGGTGAGGTATGTACTTGGTATGCCACTGTGCACGCCAAAGTTATTAAGTTGTTTTCAATGCTTAAAAATAACTTAAAAAAAAAAAAAAAAATTTAATTTTTTTGTTTAAATACACAAAAATAAGTCCTGCGCTCAAACTCCCAGGACTCCTGGGCGGCAGCAATGACCATAGCACACATCAGTCTCAATACATAGAATAAAAATCAAATGGAAAAAAGTTACCTGTGCACTATTCCAAATCCCTGTGCATATTTATATAAATGGAGGTTTTTAGTTCCACTCCAATGGCCATTTGATGTGAGCCCATCTGCCACATATTTTTTTTTTTTAATGTTTTGTGTAAGACAAACAATAAGGATACATAGTGGTCAAACTGTTTGAGTACATAATGCGGGCACGCAGGACCGCTGCAGTGATTAATCTGTTTCTCACATATATAATACCTTATAATCTTTGCTTTCCCCATATCCCGATTTGCAAACCTAAGGTAAACCCCAGCAACCGAATCAGTATATCTTGGCGTCAATCATGCCACTTCTGCGGTGAATGATGCATGTATAGTCCACCCTGTCCCCTGCTGTGATAAACAGGTTGACCATTGACTGTTATACCCAGTTTAAAATGACATAACATATTAACACCGACTGTGAAAGGAAAAGGGAGTCAGTAAATGGTAGTGTACTTGTAAGACATCCTGTAAAAGGTCCACCATGAGACCCTTTAACTTAAATTACATTTGGAATTAGAAATGACGAAGTGCCCTGACCAAAAGAACACAAGATAAAGTGATTAAAACTTCACTTTTATTTTTGTCTGTTAAAAAATGTCTGTTTACTACTGTATCAAATAAATGACGAACACTATTGGTAATGAATAGGTACCAAAAGTAAATAAAAAATGTTAACAAAATAGGTGTATACACCATAAATTGGGGTGCAAAAGAGGTATATACAGTTTGTAAGGAAGGAAAAATTAGAACTAAAATATATATATATTTGTGAGACAGGACCCAAATTTCCAAATAAAGCCTTGTTGTCAAATGTCCTCAAGAAATCATGGTTCTGAATCACTCTGGTGTTAATTATTACTTGGGATGCACAATAGATATCTCTCTGAGTTAAAGGACCACTATAGGCACCCAGACCACTTCAGCTTAATGAAGTGGTCTGGGTGCCTTGTCCAGCTAGGGTTAACCCTTTTTATTTTATAAACATAGCAGTTTCAGTGAAACTGCTATGTTTACACTGAGGGTTAATCCAGCCTCTAGAGCCTCTAGTGGCTGTCTCATTGACAGCCGCTAGAGGCGCTTGCATGCTTCTCACTGTGAAAATCACAGTGAGAAGACGCCAGCGTCCATAGGAAAGCATTGTAAATGCTTTCCTATAAACTGGCTGCGCGCACGACTCCTGCCGCGCATGCGCATTCAGCCAATGATGTCGCTAGGAAGGAGGAGGAGGAAAGCTCCCCACCCGGCGCTGAAGAAAGGTAAGATTTTAACCCCTTCCTCTCTCCAGAGCCTGGCGGGAGGGGGACCCTGAGGGTGGGGGCACCCTCAGGGCCTTATAGTGCCAGGAAAACGAGTATGTTTTCCTGGCACTATAGTGGTCCTTTAAGCAGTGCAATGTATATAAAACACTGACACAAGGAGTTTCTACTGTTATCCTCTAAAGAGCAACAATGTAGCTGAGGAGATTGAGCCAAAAAGAGGGAACCTCAACAAAGTAGCGCTCTGAACAATCATGGTTCACCTCAAGTTACACACCAAACCAATAAAAAACAATCTTGTATTGTATAGAAACTACTACAAAACTAGAGAATACTGCTCGGTGAAAAATCTGCTTAGTGAAAATTCTATACTGTGCCTTCGAGGGCATCTGTGCTTGTGGAGAAAGCAAAAAGCTAACTGTTAATAAAGTAAGCCGGTTTCAATTGATCTAGTTGTACCTGGACTAAAATTAGCTACTGTCTTCGATACATCTTAATGAAAGTCGGTAAGTACAAAGATAAGTCCAGCCCCAGGTTACAAGTAAACCTCTCATGAGCAATAGAAACAGTAGGTCATCAAATAGCGAGTCCCTCGTATAGGAATCATATAGGCTTATATTGGCCCTTAACCTTTTTGTCCACCGCTCTCCTGACCTCTCCTCTGCCCAGATCTTCAGGTGTTTCAATGAAGCTGGCAGTGTCCCGGATGCTTTGTGATGAACTGACTATTAAGACTGTTAGGAAGAGGTCCCCTATTTCTTTTCCCAGTTAACTGAACACAATAGGTTTCCCCTTAGTTTGGTATTCTCATTTGACCGAACACTGACCACCCCCCTGGCTCGTTAACTTCAAAAGAAACACTTAACTCCATTGCTCTCTCTAGGTGGCCGCCATTCGTATAACTGAAAACACGCTAGGAAATAGCGGCTATTTTGTCTCCTGAATGCAGGCAGCGGTACTTGGTCGTTGAGTGCATGGAACTCTAGCTCGGATACTAGATCCTAATGATGAAACGTTAGTACAAACTGGAACTAAGACATGTATCTACATGTATTAGAAACGAGAGACCGCTATATCTCAGTGAGGTTGGAATAGCAGGGTGACAACCACCACATCATGCTGAGGCTTGACCATCATCCCTGACAGAATAGGATTTCAGACATATCACAGCATAACAGGGCAAAGTTATCTGATAGCAGACGAAAAAATAGAAAATACAATCTGCCATGGTGGACATTGCCAGTTAGTGCAGGCTATTGTATCAGCAAGGTAAGTGAATTCAGCCTATTCCTCGGCTTGAAAGATGTGTTGTTTCAGACCATGATAGCCTTGTAGCATGTTAAGTGCCAAGGAAAATAGAGATGCAGATGATATTTAAAAGAAAAGCAGAATTTAACACCCTTCTGCAGTTCTCTCCCTTAACTTTCATGTTTTGTGCTTCCTTTCTCTAACTCAGTTTGCTGCACAGTGTGAAGATGAGAAGCCATTTATTCTTGCCCACTTCCACGAATGGCTCGCTGGCGTGGGCTTATGTCTGTGCCGAGTCCGCAAGCTCCCTGTCGCCACTATATTCACAACACATGCCACACTTTTGGGCCGGTATCTGTGTGCTGGAAGCGTAGACTTCTACAATAATCTCCAAACGGTGAGTTATCCAGACTAACTTGTATTCATTTCTTAAGGGATTTCAGTCTCAATACATTTTCAACATTTAAACATTTCAAGATTTGGTACCATATTTATTGTGTATCTTTAGAGTTTAACTTTTGTAAGTTTTTTTTTAAGTATTACATTGTTTTTATTGTTATTTACACTTCACACAGACACCGTTTTATTGCAGTCTATAACTTTTTCAGTGGAACTGAGAGTCATTTGGAAGCTACTAACTATTTATTTTTAAAATACACCATCGATTGGCTTACTTATAGCCTAAAAATGCAATATATGCTGTACTGTCTACCCAAAGAACTAGCTGCATCATGTTTAGAGGACATTCTACTTTATGATAAAAAATGGTGAAACGGTGGCTTTCCAAGACACCTTAAACACATGGACTTCAGTGCATAATACGTTAAATGCATCCTTTAGGTGTTTGTGGTTTACTTTATTGTTTATAAACTTTGGCATTGAGATTAGTAATTTTACTTGTAAATATGTTGTATATGGTGGTACAAAAAGATTAGGAGACACTATATATCATTCAAAAGAGACATGCAAGGCAAAATATGTGCTAAAAGGATCATGAAAAAATTAATTTTGACTTTATTAATTTATGATGCTATATTCCACCGACCATTTGTTTAGTTCCATCCTGTTGTCTCCCCATCTCATTCTGGAAATATTGAGACCCTTCTTGACTGTAAGATTTCTGTGGAAAGATTAATGGAAAGTGTACTCCACTCCTTTATAATTTTATTGATCATAAGGATTGGATGATCTTTTTGAGGAAGATCTAAGTTAGAAAAATGTACACAAATACTGTTCTCCCGTGTCCACTACATTTTTTTGTCGACAAAAATTATTTTAAGTAAGGCTTATTGTCATTTCCTACAAGCCACTATGCTTTTATTCACTCAAGTACTTGATATTGAACATTTAAAGGTAGTCCACAAAGGATTTTTTAAAAATTAATATTTAGATAAGATATTCACATTTGCAGTTCAAGTATTTGTTGCAAATCCCTTGCCTTTTCTGCTTCTGCACTGTGCTCGGACCAGGAAGTGACTTAGCTGAGTTCTGAGCTTATCCCACACGGCAGTGCTTAATGGACACAGCAAGTGATTTTGGGAGTTGTGGTTCGGTTGTCATATTTGCACTGTGGAAATGTAAAAGTTGAGCTACAAAAACTCAGAAATTCCATCACATATAGCATTATTACCAGAGTAAGAGCAACAGTGTAGTTTTGGTTTGAGGATCAGAAATGTCAGGCTTTTAGAACAAACAAAAATGTTGTTTTATAAAAAATAATTTCAATAAATAATTTTACACATTGCACTTAATATTCATTATTTGCAAGGATGCATCCTGGGTGTCACTAGGGCTTCCACCTTCTCTCCCATGCACTACAGGGCATGCGCTATAGAGGGGGCTCCATTGCTAGTGGGGGGATCAAAGGTCTCCCTCACTGACCAAGTCATCTTGATGGAGGGAGAACCTGGGCTGAACCTCTTGCGGGCTTATCTCTTTAAATTTTTTTGCCCTATATTTTCATTCCCTATCCCACTCCCTTGTGGCCCCTATCCACCACACATGCTGTACTAGTAGGCTTGGCTCACAACTGGTTTTCCGTTCATCTTAAAAGTGTATGATTGTCTAGGCTGGAAAAAAAAAAAAGACTTGGGTCCATCAAGCATTCTATTATACTGTTGATCCGAAAGAAGGCAAAAAAAAAAAAAAGATTTCTCCTTGGATCAACAACCTGTTTACATACATATCAATTATATCCATGAATATTCTGTTTATGCAAAAAGGCATCCAAGCCTTCTTTAGTTATTTTATATATATTTTTTAATATCTATAGAATCTGATAAGACAACCTCTTTAGGCAGATAATTCCACATCTTTATTGTTCTTACTGTGAAGAACCTTTTCATTTGCTGTGTTCATTGGAGTTGAGGTCATGGCTATGTGCAGAACACTGTAATTTCTCCACCAATTTCACCCAACCATGTCGTTATGGACCTTGCTTTGTGCACATGGTTGCAGTCATGCTGGAACAAGACAGGGCCTCCCAGACTGTTTCCACAGTTGGAAGCACCCAGTTGTCTTAATTAAATGTATTTGCATCATGTAACATTAAGATGGCCCTTCACTGGAACAAAGGAGCCTAGTCCAAACCCTGAAATACTTCCCCAGACAATTATCCATCCTCCACCAAAATTTGCAGTAGGCACTACAAGGAAGGTAGGTAACGTTCTCCTGGAATGCACCACACACAGATTCTTTATCAGACTGCCAGATAGGGAAGCATATTTCATCACTCCAGAGAGCAGGTTTCCACTGCTTCAGAATCCAGTATCAGCAAGCTTTATGCCACTTCATCCAGTGATTGGCATTGCCTAAGTTCTTGTGCTGATGTTGCATATAGAGGAAGTGCTGTCTGTAGTGAGTGATCAAGAATAGCAGTCAAACTGACAAAACTGGGATCAGGTATTGAGAGCCAGCAGAAGAAAGAAAAAAAAATGCCCCATATGCCTTTACATACATTTATATTAAGATGCAGGGAGCATAAGAAAAAAGGTCAGTGCCACATTAACATGACAAACAAAATGGCAGGCATCAGATGCATTTTTGAATGTTTGTTTATTGGAGATATTCTGTTGACAGTTCAACGTAGATAAGGAAGCAGGAGACCGCCAAATTTACCACCGGTACTGTATGGAGCGAGCAGCTGTCCAGTGCAGTCATGTATTCACCACGGTTTCACAGATTACTGCAATAGAGGCAGAGCATCTACTGAAACGCAAGCCAGGTAAGGAGCAGGATTGCAGATATTAAGTTAAAAATCTCAACCTGTCGCAAAGCATGCTTTTTGTAAAAATTCAGTATGTCGCCTACCATTTTTCTGTGCTCCGTGTTGGGAGGTGGGGTCATGTATAAAAACTCTGTTTTGACCCACAATTCTTAAAATGGAGCCATCGGCGTGGAAACCATTGGAGTGTTCCTGCTGATTCACTATTAAAAAATAAATGTATATTTTCAAGTCTCGCTTCTCTACTTAACCCCTTAAGGACACATGACATGTGTGACATGTCATGATTCCCTTTTATTCCAGAAGTTTGGTCCTTAAGGGGTTAAACCACATTTCTTAGCCAAATAAATATGGGAACTTAATCATGGCTATACTGTGTCAAGATCTCAGTATACATCAAACTAATTCTATTCTAGTTTAGAGGGTTAATCCAAACACCATAACCACTACTGTTTATGATGCCAGGGGTACAAAGACCCCATTAATGGGTCAAATGGTTTTGCCTGGTTCTCCGACAGTCTACAAGGGTCCTCTCTTGCTGGCTGTGACATGCAGCCAGCTTCTAATGATGCCCCAGTGACGCTGCTGGAGATGGACTTACACCCCTGGCATCAAAAGGGTTAAATTATGTATGTGCAGTGTTTCCATGCTAAACAGCAGCACCTAGACTCCAGGCACCATGACCACTTCAAATCACTGAAGTTGTCATGGTGCTTGGATTAACCCTTTGAATATACTAACTGCACTATGTGCTGCTTAAAACGTTTTCTCAAGCATATGCTTCACTGTAGGCCCATCTGATAGGGCCCCTGGGCGTGGAGGGTACAGTGTTCAGCTCAAGGAATCTTGGCAAGACTCCAAGCAAACAGATTTTGTTGCTTGAGACGGGTGATCTTGTAAGATGTGAAACTGCATAATACAGTGTATCGCTTCACAGTATATGTTCCATTGCCTGTGTTGATCTTTTCTTCTTTATTTTTAACTTTCAAACCTAGCTTTATGTGTTTATGTATTAATATCCTGTCTTTTTTTTTTTTTTCTATACGTTCTTATTTATATATTTTGGCCTGGTCGACCTGCTGGAATACAGATGTTGTAACCCCAAACGGTTTAAACGTGAAGAAGTTTTCTGCCATGCACGAGTTTCAGAATTTGCACGCGCAGAGTAAAAACCGCATTCAAGAGTTTATAAGAGGTCACTTTTACGGGTGAGGTTTTTTTGTTTTAATTCTTTTATTATAGCACTGCCACCCGAATAGCGAATGGAAAAATATACCATTTTTTTTATTTGATTGTTTGTTCCTGGTCTTGTTAAATGTAATCACAATATCGGATTTTATCTTTTTAATATTTGTATTACTGGATTTTTTTGTTTTTGTTAACGTGCACATTTCAAATCACCCTACTTTAATTTTCACATATGTATTATGCTCATTTCTTTCAGGCATTTGGATTTTAATTTAGATAAGACTCTGTTTTTCTTCATCGCTGGGCGCTATGAATTTTCAAACAAAGGAGCGGATATTTTCCTGGAGGCGTTAGCCAGACTCAACTACCTTCTCAGAGTAAGGGGACTGGGAGTAAACAAGAATTTCATACTATATTGAATACCTGTGGAGGGTGGAGGTTGGGAGGGGTTTGAAACTTTTGGAATGGCATTGATGTCTCTGAACCTTCATTACAAGTGATGAAATCCTCTCCCAGGTCAATCAGAGCGACACTACAATTGTGGCATTTTTCATCATGCCAGCAAGGACCAATAACTTCAACGTAGAAACGCTGAAAGGTCAGGCAGTGAGGAAACAACTGTGGTGAGTATAGCAGTGTCTCTGCTTTGGTGTAAAATGAATTCGAAAATAACATTTAGCAAAGGTTATGTTTAGTGTTTAGCAATGGCTATGCAGGGGAACCAGAAAACACTGATGTCCTGTTGGTGAGGATTTTAAAGAATATCATCACCAAGAACGGTCTATCCAATCCTATTTGTTTTAAGCCCACTTTGTGAAAGGGTTGCTCCAACCTACTAAAGGTGTTCTAATAAAACACGGTCTTTGGTTGGAGTATCCCTTACTGGCATGGTTTCACTAAGAAAGAAAATATAAAAACTCTTTGATTTAGCAAAGAGGCCAGATTCTCTCTGAAACCCTTCCTCGTCTGGTGACAGCATACCCCCTTCACTGCCATTGGTCGTTGGCCGCCAGCTCGCATGTTGCGTTTTTTTTTGTTTTCATTTTGTTTTTAAATACTACTTAAAAAGCATGTGGCATAAAATTAACTTGCAGCTTGCACCTTAAGTGTCGAACTCTGATGGTTTTTATCTTTTCAAAATGCTTGGGCTAAATAATATACTTGTTACGCCACCTAGTGGTAGCGTCCAGTTCAACTACATAATAGAACATAGGCAAAACTACCATTCCCATTCTTAATGCACATTCCTTTTACAAAACACAGCTGTTATCTAGCAATTTTTAGTTTGTTGATATTTGATAATCTGCCGTACTTGTTCTTATCATTGTCCTACATTTCAAAAGCATGCTTCTATTTATTCACACCACCCCCTTACGCCAAAATAACTGTGTGTCTTTTAAGCTCTGCACTAGTTTTAAAACCAATAGCATTTCTCAAAATTTGAATAACTGAACTGACTAGGAATGAGAAATCCAGTGACTGCTAGTATTTTGAGTTTATTAAGGTGCACCAAATATTTTATATATTTAGAAATGAATTGTGGAAACAATTTTTCAATCAAACTACAGAATGGTTTATGTCCACCTGTGTGAACATGAACCATTCTGTACCATTCTTAAATAAGAAAACCTTGTGTGCATGCATATACCGTGCCTTTAATTCTTACTTTTCTTGTGTTATCAAGAAAGCAGATCTGCTCCTACTAATGTATAAACATGGGTGTTTTTTCCTTCTTTATTCAGGGATACAGCCAATTCGGTAAAAGAAAAGTTTGGAAAGAAGTTGTATGAGTCATTACTTGTGTAAGCGTTTTGATAGTTTTGTTAAACTGTATAAAGTTAAACTGTCTATTTTGCAAGCCGCTGGATTAGTTTCCCATTGGGAGGCCTATCTTCTGTCAATGTTCCTCAGCAGCTGTAAATCTGTGATGATTAAAAATTTTGGCTACATCTAATTGGTTTCAAAAAAAGCTATTCTGAATCTGTATTCAGTAGATTATAATTCAGATTTTAAAAGTAGCACTCCCCTGAATGCTAACCTTGCTGGAAGCACCCCATTAACGTGACTTGCATTATCAGCCCTTCCCACTGATTTGTTTCATGGTTTTGGTTGCTATGTCATAGCAACTACATGGAGTAAGAAAAGGGAGATCAGCTCAGGACAAGTTGGTTTTCTCCAGAAAGTTAAAATGCATTCAGGCATAGAGAAGAATTTTGCAAGAATTTTCCTGGCCAGCTATCCTAAACCTCTTGCACTTCTTTGCTATACAAAAAGTGACTGTAGTTATGAGCCCAAAAATATCTTGGTCCAGGTTTATATTGGACCACACCGTAAAAATTACCAAAGTGGGTGCCACACGTTGCTTGCTGAGTAGTCTTTAAATTCAGCTGGGTGCCTCTGCCAATCGCTGATTCATAGCAATGACGAGTACTTCCAACACTCCACTAGACACCATCAACACCGTAATCACCACTTCCAGCGTTACAGCTTGGCTGGGAACTCACTGTCCTCCACTTACCCTGGACCAAGGACCACGATCCAGCTTCCAGTGGGTGAATCTCTCCTACTCCAGAGAGTGTAGCAGGAAAAGCTCTTACAAGAGGACGTGATGGAAGCACCTGCAACAACATTACTCAAACCAATGACATTGGCCCCCAGGTCCAGGACACTCCCATACATAACAATGAAATCCCTCCCCTATGCCTGGGAGATGATGGAGTCAGATACTTACTCAATTATCTCCAGGCACAAAAAACACAATTTTCCACAACACCCTGAAAGTACCCAAAACACATGGAAACCCCATGAAAGTTACATCCCCTGCTAGCACTGATTCATGAATTTCCTGGAAGTCAAAGTCTGAACAATCGCACGCATGGTCCCATGCCCAAAACAGTTCCATAGAGTCGCGTCTATATGTGCTGTTGGGGACCAACCAGAAATCGCGAAGTCTTCATGCCGAAAATAGTTCCAGGGTATTCGCAGCTAAGTCCCCCTGAAGTCTATTCACAGTTTTGGTCCATGCAAACAGCTGCCAGGGAGCTAGCGTTCGGTTCTATGTGCACAAATGGAAAGTGCTGAACCAGGGGGAATAAAATGTGTTTTTACAGTCGCTGACCAGGCCCATAGTCTTTTGGCGGGATACTGGCAAGCAGGCCCCTCCAAAAGCCCTCACCACACCCTTCTGTCCGGTATTTAATATTTATATTATAAACTTCCATTTTAGTATGCACCTTACTTACCTACTTTAAGCTTGGTGTATCTTAATTATTGTATTGTGGTTTTGGAAGCCAGGATGGAGGTGGGGGTTACCATGTGACTCCCTGGATTGAGCCTCTTTGCACTAAACATTGGTATTACGGAGTCAAGTTAAAGAATTTTACTAACTCATGGTGTTACCATGTATATCTAAATTGATGGTGACTGCTAATTTCTAGTCCCACAATGGAAGTGACACAATCCCAAATTCTGCATAGCTCACTATGCATGTACTATTCTGAGACTGACCTACATAGAATTGTTGTAATCATTATCCCACTGCACCAGTATAGCAGTAGCATTAACGGACCAGTGTTTTTTGCGCACTTTGAATAATCCAGTATTGGAGATGCATCTTTCAGTAATTACTTGGAAATATTTTGGGCATAGCTTCCAAATATGTAATTTGTCTTGCGTGGAAATTTTATAGATTACTGTATAAATTAAGCAGTTGTTTTTTCACTGCAATGTTGATATTTTTCATTGCAGAGGAAACCTACCAGATATGAATAAGATGCTTGATAAAGAAGATTTCACTATGATGAAAAGAGCCATTTTTGCCACACAGGTAAGATGTCATTTAGATCTATACTGACCTATGTGGAGATGTATAGCAGAACACTAAACATAAACCACAGTGCTAGTTGCCATGTAGATCTGTTGTAGGCAACCAATGAGCTTCTTACTGTCCTTGTATACCTCCCAAAAGTCCCTCTTTTTGAGTGTGGACAGAGATTCTTTTGGTCACATCTCCCTTTTTACCTTATTTTATATCCTAGTGTTTCTTCCTTTCTATTGCAGTGTATATCTTTTTCTAGAATTTTAGGTGTATTTCACGTTGGCAGTCAAATTAAAATATCGAATGGGTTTCCATAGTATATCAAATGTGTTTTAGGGCAAACCTAGAAAGTCTCACATAGCAAGCTTACTATCAAGTGAGATTTAAAACTCTTTTAATTGTGCCCATTTTTTTCCCACAATGGCAGGTCTCTTATATAAAAGAGAAGAAGAATGTGGACAAGAGCAAAAACATGTACGCATATAGTATATGTTAATCTAAATCCTTCTTTAATATCGTCAAGCCTACAGGTTGCAGTTAAGATTAGATTTTACAATATCGTCCCTCTAAATAGAAACACTAAAACAGATTCACAGAATTTATAGAGAACCTATAAAAGAAAATTAGACTTACAAGATACTGAAATTAAATATATAAACAAATCAAATGGCCTTGAACTATATTATTTTTAGCTACATAGGCAGGGTTTGATATCAATGAAAATATTTTGGACAACCAAAAAGTTCCCCTCGTAGGCTGCTGAAAATCTTGGCATGTATGTAATGGACTAGAATTATCGGCATATGAAATTCAGTTACATGACATGGTCTCACTGGGATTTTTTTGCCTGCCTGCCAGCCACTTTATCTATGTAAAATACAGATAGGTGCTGGCAAGATCACAACTGTTCTCTTTTTCCACAGAGACACTCGTTTCCACCTATATGTACCCACAACATGCTGGATGATTCCACAGACTCCATCTTGAACACTATTAGGAGAATCGGACTCTTCAACAGCAGTGCTGACCGTGTGAAGGTGAGAACGAGAATGTTTGCCTTGGATCCACTTCAGATGTTGGTTATCATGGCAGACATGTTGCAGGCACTTCCATATGATTCACGTGTTTTGCATTGGCACACCTGATACCATTTTGTGCACTGAAATGTGCTTCAAGCTCTGTTGCAAGTAGACATTCCTTGGTGGAGTTACCTCCTAATTTATTGGGAGACTTACTCAGCATGCACTTACATGAATGAGGAAGGAATGCACACGGTGGCCCTTAACAGAATCGAATTTGCTTGAAATTGAAAGTTTCATGCACATCAATAGAAGTTGCTACCAGCTTGACCTTCCCCAGCTCCTTCTTTCACTCCTCCTAAAGTTAATGAGAAACCGTTATTGCTGTATTGCATGGGGATAGCTGTCTCATTCACTGGTCAAATTTGAAGCAAAGCTGTCACCACACAGTATCAAATTAGAATGTAATTATAGGTTGTGCTTTTTATTTAAGTTTTTTTGACCCCCGCTGTAATGTCTGCACAGGTGCATGCGTATGTATGGTAGTATTGAGTAGGTGCTCAATGTACATAGAAGTGCCACAGAGATGAGTGGGCGCTGCCACCACAGTAAATGTTTGGATTGTGTTTACTGGGTTATGGGAACATTCTATTCACTTGACTGCAAAGGTTCTTCTACAAATAGCTGTAGGTTTCCTTCTAGTTGTGTCGTCACCTCCTGTTGAAAATGGGAGGAAAAATAGGCAACATCTTATGGTGCAATTAATCTTAAACACATAAGGAAGCTTACAGGTTTGTAATAAAATATTTTACCCAGAAATTCTTTGCTGGTACTGATAGAACAGATGCCGTAATCAAATTCAAGATACAATTTAGCAATGGCAATGACCTGTTAGTTTTCTAATGCCTTTTTTGCCGTTCTACTAATTTGTTTTCGGAGCTTAGAGACATATGCCTTTTCTCTACTTGTTGTCTTAGATAATGGTTCTGGTATATATGTGATGTACATTAGTTAGATTTGGAACATAGGTTGCTGTTCAAGCAAGTATTCTTTCATGTTCTAATCCCAGCAACCCACTGTCTAATTATTAAATACAGGCACTCCTCACTTACCGACCGGGTTCCGTTCCTACGACCCGGTTGTAGAACAAATTGCTCGGTAAGTGAGGTGTTAAGGGATTTCCTGCTCTGGTACACTTGCCTATGTTCCCTGAACATAGACTAACGCACCAGAGCAGGTAATCTCTCTAATCTATGTTCATGGAAATTTCCCTGCTCTCGTGATGTTTCCCCAAACATAGACATGCGCACCAGAGCAGGGATTCCCCACGACGGCTCACACTTATGCCTGGTCGTAAAACAGGTAGGTCACCTTCACTGGTTTTAACACAGGTGTGTTTTGTTTTGTTTTAAGGTTCTTTGGACCCTTTTTACCAGTTCATGTGGGAATGTATGTCAACATGTCCTTCTGCAAGGGGGAAAAAAACATGATGATTCCATACATTGAAATTTTTAGATCTGTTTTTCATTTTTTGGTTCCCTGACTATACAGATCCACTAACTACTCCTGAGTATTTTGCACCTATAGGGAGCTAAATTACCATTTTAAAGTATGTGGCCTGTGTAGCTCTGCCTGATTCGCGATAGGACTTTAATTCTAGGCTTCTTTGCATGCTTACTGTTAAATCAATTATTTTTACGGAGAATTCACAAATTAAATAGTTCTAAATGTGTTCTGCATGCGATACTTACTACTTTATCATCATTCCTTCAATACTTTATCTTACTGGTGTGGTCTGGTGAATAGTCCAGAAATACGTTGAAACAAAATGTCAAGGTCTACTGTAAATCATCAGTCAATCCACATCAGTGTTACAGCACCTTTTAACTGTTCTATTAACACTATTAACATAACTTACTTTCTGTCTCGTCCGTATTTACATTTCTCTGTTTTCTCTCATAGGTAATCTTCCATCCAGAGTTTCTTTCCTCTACAAGCCCACTTTTACCAGTGGATTATGAGGAGTTTGTTCGTGGATGCCACTTGGGGGTCTTCCCTTCTTACTATGAACCCTGGGGTTATACGCCTGGTAAGAGCGGGTTAACCAGCATTTACCTTTTTTTTTTTTTTTTAATACTTCCATGCATATAGAAAATTAGAACTTTCAGGGTCAAACTGAAATGCCCCAAAATGCATGGTCTGTGAAAGGACATTAAGTGGACTATCAAATAATGATCGATAACATTCATCTTTCATTACAAACTAGTGTAAATTTATCTAGAACTAAAATGTGGACAAACCTGAATATAGCATTTACTTTTATTTTCTATAATGCGTCACTCTGCAAACCATCACAACTTTGAATAATTGCAATGGTGATGTTGCGTAGAGCATCTGAAATAGTCTCCACTCTGAGAGCTGCTTACAATTGAAGAGTATATTAAAAAAAAAATCAAAAAAAAATCTCAGCAGTTTGAGGCCTGCCTCTTAGGGCTGTTAGGAGGGAAGTCCAGAGCGAGAGTTGCAGGTTGCCTACGCTAATTTTTTTTTTTTTCTTCAATTTTCACATGTGGTGCAAGTAATTCTGCACTTCCTGCAGAATTTTTGCAAAACATGGTCCTGTCCAAGGACCGCAGCTCCGATCGGAGCTTGACTTTTCAGATTCCAAAACTATAAATGGGCTATATGTATACTGATGGCAGCTGTGCGCTATGGTGGTTTTGTGGGTAAAAAAGCCAGGTAACAGGGTAAGGATTATGGATTGACAATATCTGAAATAGTCCCAATCCATCAAGCAATAAAGATGCCTCACACTTTTTATAATCCTTTTTAATACAATAAAAAATGAAATTCAGTTGCATTTACATCTCCCCAGCTTGGCTATTTAACTGAAGATATGGTTTAATCTATTTCAAAGCAAAACCAAACTGCTCCTAGGCAGTACAGCCAGATAATGTACAAAAGAATTTGATAAAATGTAAAGAATGGGGTTTCCTGCTGGGATACCCCAATACGTTGTCTCACTAATTTCATAAAACATGATCTTCCATCTTGCCTTGCAAGTCATCTCTTAAGAAAGATTCATGTTTAAAGTTTAGTTTTCCTTTGTAGCTGAATGCACCGTCATGGGGATCCCCAGCATTTCAACCAACCTGTCGGGATTTGGCTGTTTTATGGAAGAGCATATCGCCGACCCTTCTGCTTACGGTGAGCGGATGACGTTTGTCCAGTATGAGGAATATTTGTGAATATATGGCATTGAAATCTTGGTTATGGTTATATTTTAGCACCAACTGCCTGATCTTCAAACTTGTTATATTCTCTTGATTTATCTATGCTATTTATCAAATATCTAGTAAGATGGACAAAATGACTACAGCTTCTATATTTTTTATTGATTGTTCGTTCTGGATAATGACTGTTTTTGGCTTAGCTGGGTTCAGTTTGCTATTTGTCTGTAGCATTTTTTGTTTGTTTAGTTTTTTTTTTTTCTTTCTTTTTTTTTATCATAAAGTGATGATCTTCATTTACCCAACAGGTATTTACATCCTGGATCGGCGTTTCCGCTCAGTAGATGATTCCTGCACCCAGTTAACATCCTTCCTGTACAGCTTCTGTCAGCAAACCCGTCGGCAGCGCATAATTCAAAGAAACCGCACAGAGCGCCTATCTGATCTCCTGGATTGGAAGTACTTGGGTCGGGTAAGTTCTCCGTGTCTCTCTTTGTCAACTTGGAAAACTGTGATATGTTAAAATGACAGTACCGAGTATTCCTGCTTCTCCTCCTATAGGTAGTATATTTCATTTGGCATTAAATTTCATTGTGCTTCTGTCTCTCCTGCTATCACAGGTATTTTTCCATTAATATTTATATTATGGTGTCAAGTAATATCCATTTCAGTCATTCACAGAACATGAATCCAACCCTGAACAATGTTTTTTAATGACCCATTATTATAACCTATTATAATACAACAAATATTGTTGTACTTTTCTTACAGTATTACATGTACGCTCGACACATGTCTCTGGCCAAGGCCTTCCCTGACAACTTTACTTATGAACCTCATGAACCAACAACTGTAAGTATACCGTGTTGTGTTTATATCCATCTCTGTGCTTTTAGAACGCACAGAATAGGAATGCTGATTCTTAACTTATTGTAAAATAAACAATGCAAGTTTAAAAATGTATAAAAGGTTAATGCAGTAAGTGTGTAGTTTGAATTCACATTTGGATTTGTCTTGAAGATGGTACTTGCACTTTAAACCATTACTGTGAGCGAAGCAAAATGCCAGGTCATGAGAACGCAGTGATATCTGTTAATGCAACCCCACATCTTGTCTGCTTTGTTATTTAAGAACTCCATAAAATATCCTTTATAATATATGTGTGTGATATGGTATGTGCACATTTAGGATTCCACATTAAGGAACACACGTTTGGAAATATTCATGTATTTTTTTTTTCCTTCATGTTTTATTTGTGGGGGTACATACATTATTTTTTAAATAAATAAAGCTAAAATGTTTTTGCAAAAGCTGCACACCTGCAGCGTTTGCATGCCATTCTATTTTTTTCCCTGTCTGTCTTGGGGAATACATCAATCCAAGGCTTCTCGTTGGAAAAGCTCTGTGCTGGAACTGCAAGTGTCCATTACAAAACAGCTTTACTAAGTTTCTCAATTAACTGTAGTACAGCTTTTTGAGAAGAGGATGGCAGGTGCAAGCTAGCCCAGAGCCTGCAGCTTCTGTTAACCCTGAAAGAGGTGCTTCCAATGATTAAAGTGCAATTTCTCTTTAAATGCAAGAAACACACATTTTCATGAGGTTATAAAAGAGCAGATGTTGATAAAATTTCAGACCTTACAGCACAGTTTGTTTACTTTAGAAGTTTTGTATCTCCTGTTCTGTTAAGTTCACTTTAATCACACACGAGGCTACTGCTGACTGTAGCAAACTAGTAACAGAGTAGAACTTAAGAAATTCTAACTTAAACAAAATGTGCAATAGATAAAGTTTAAACATGAGTTCTGTCTTCACATAAATACTGTTGGGAGACTGTGTAGGTTGCATGCAGGAGAGGTGTGACTAGGGCTGCATAAACAAAGTGATTTAACTCCTAAATGGCAGCCAAGAAATTGTTTTTTTTTAAATTTTGTATTTTTATTTTTATTTTTTAAGGCCCAAGGATTCCGCTACCCTCGGCCAGCATCTGTGCCACCATCTCCATCTCTGTCCCGTCACTCCAGCCCACATCACAGCGAGACAGAAGATGACGATGAACGATATGACGAAGAGGAGGAGGCAGAGAAAGATCGTCAAAACATCAAACCTCCAGGAATGGCATCAGTGGGTCCAGTGCCTGAGTGGCACAAACGCTCCAAGAAAGGCTCTGTTGATGCAGGCAACTCAAATAATGCTAGCAATGCCAGCACCCCCACCAATCCAAGTAGCCCGAGTGACCTCAGTAGTCCTACCAGTTCACTTATAGAGGAGAGGAACTAAATGTTTCTATTGCTTTGTTTACAGCAAGGTTGGAATTACTGGTGATACTGTGAAAAAGAGAATATGACATCTGGAACTATTTGATGCATTAATAGCTCTTGAATTAGTTCCATATACATATCCATTCTTCTTCAGTTCTTAGAATACCAGACTTTCCCTCCAGGTGTTCACTGACCGCTTGCTTACTGTAAGCAGTGGGATTACACCTTCTTGATATATTTTTTACCTTAAGCCTTGGAGATCAAAAAAAAAATTGGGGCTTAGGTAAAAATGTTCATGGTTATCTTCTTTATTTGAGTAATGTCCCCCACCACCCCTAAGCTATTTTAACTCCTTGAAATGCCGTAGATTTAGAGGAAATGTAATCCGTTTAAGACACTAAAGAAGTGTATAGTTATAGTGAATTAGAGAAGAAAATAAAGCTCTATAAAAGGCACCTGAACAATTTAAACCAAATTTGCTGTTTGAAAACAGTTTCCAGTACCAGTCTGCTGACTCCACAGACAAAGTATGCACTTTCTAAATAAAAGAAATACCACCCTCCTATCTGATAACAAAAGAAATCAAGACTAAACACATAGGTCAGTTTTACTCTACTGAAGATGCAACAGATATCTTATTTACACCTCCTTCAGCTGCTCATTTAATGAAGTCTTCCAATAACGCATCCTGTTACAATTATTTTTTTAAATTTAATCCTTTTGTTTGGATCTTAAGGGTATTTAACTCGTTACTGGAGAGTGACAGCTCTAGTACCTCTGTCTGACTCTGTCTATCCAGAATTGCAGTCCTCCACCTCAGTTGGGACTATCTTCAGATAATTACCACCTTAAAAGTACTTTTGCCTTCATCTACGGTTAATATCTCCATCTGCCACAGGATTGTAGTATCAAGTTCTTGAGCTTTTTCAAACGTGCAGTGATATTTTATCAACCTGCTGTGGGACTCATTGAAGAAAATATAAAATGGAGTGTCATTCTCCAAGAACAGAAGAATTAATATTTAAAAATAAAATTTTAAAATCTAAAAAAACAAACAAATAAAAACTGGGCCTACTGTGCTTCTTCATCTGGTTACCCATTCATTCTACCAATGCATTCTAGTAGTAAAACAACAACTTCCTTCATGGCGCAAGGAGCAAAATATTTTTAAAACTCAGTGGCATTTAACTATTTTTATATTTTATTTTTTTCTTGTAAAAACCTATTTTCCAGTGGGTAAGCTGTGTTCCTAACCACAACAATCAGTGGTGATGATGGTGAGTGCACCAAAATGTAGAAATCGAAATGGAAGATTCTTAAGCAACCACTCCATTATGACACATGTTTTTTTAGATTCATGTTGTTAATCATCTTACCCAGGAGCAACACCAGGGCTGTTGTGCAGGAGTCTGTTAAAGGGACACTCCAGGCACCCAGACCACTTCTGCCCATTGGTGTGGTCTTGGTGCCAACTCCCACCACCCTTAGTCCTGCAAGTGTAATTATTACAGTTTTTATAAACTGCAATAATTACCTTGCAGAGTTAAGTCCTCCTCTAGTTGGGACTTCCGTGTTCTTAGAACTTGAATAGTGTTTTAAACAATGCTGGACATCCTCACTCTATGTGAGGACCTCCAGGGTTGCCGAAATCCCCATTGGAAAGTATCGGATAATGCTTTCCTATGTGGAGGGCTAGTGCGCGGCCATTGCTGCACATGCGCATAAGGTCTCCCCCACCGGCTGACGGGCAGTAGGCAGAGCCTAACCCAGTAAGTCACTGAAAGGGTTTTAACCCCTTCAGCAACTTGGGATGGGGTGGGGAGGTGGCACAAATGTTTTCCTGGCACTGGAGAGTCCCTTTAAGCCGCTCAGCTATAGAGCAGAGGTAGGCAGTTGCTGTACAAATGCCATGATGTTTTGTCAGCTGTGGATGGATTATTTACTCATCCTTGCAGGGTACTATTTGTATGCAGCATCTGTGAATATAGACATGTTTTTATCGTGTATACTTGTGGGAATGTTTATGTATCTGTGTACAATGCTGATGCTTGAATGTGAGGTTTCTGTTTCTGGGTAGTGTTGACATTTAAATGCATGGGTGTATGTGTGTAGTGTTGCTGTTTGAAGTTTTTTTAGGTAGTATTTTATTTTTCAAGTGTATGAATGCATTGTGTTTGTAATGTTTGTGTGTATATTTGTGAGTAGTATTTGTGTACAGAGTTGGCGTTTAAATGCGTGATATGGGTGTTTTGCATGCAAATGTGTATTAACAAATCCACACACAGATGCCCACAGACCTATTTATACATCGATACACTCTGAGAGATTCAAACACACACAAACAGGTTTAATTGACACACGTCTACTGATGCATACACTGACACACATACACACCTACATTCTCTATCAGTCCAGCCATGTTATATATTCCATGGTGGTCCAATGTTGCTGTTATTGATTCCCTTGTGGTCCAGCGCTGCCGCTGACTATTATTGATTGTCTGGTGGTGATATTGTGCACCCTGCATCTCTGTCATACCTCTCTCTTGCATTACCGGCTCTTATAATTGATTCAGAGCGCAGGCTGGAAATCCCGTTGGGAAAGCATATCAGTCAATGGACTACCAGGGATTTCTTTTTTTATTTAATATTTTGCTTATTCGAAAATATATCAAATAAATAAAAATCACTGCACTTGTAATTGTGGGAATTCTGTTGTAAATCAGCATTACTTGAATAGTTAATCACAAACCGTACAGAAAATAAAACACTGTGCGACAGTACAATAAAGCTATGTAAAAAAGTTGACATTAAATAAACATGATGGTGTTTCTCCCATGGCTCAAGTCCACACATTCTAGAAAACCAAAAAGGTAATTAAACAAATTCCCAAAGTGACACATCAAAAATATACCAAGATAACGTCATGAACACCTTTGGGAGTGGCAGAGAAGACTCCAGGGAACATATGTAGTTAGGTGTAGCACAACTCCATCAAACTCCTGTTATTGCGTGCAAGAAAAAGGTTGGCTCAGAAAAAAAAATGCCATTGCAGTAGACAAAGGAAAGTTATGGTCTACTCTAAAAGATTAGGAAAAATGAGGAAGAAGGAAGGACTGAAGAAAGGGAGTTGAGAGCGAAAAAAGGATTGAGATCTAGGGAATTTGGAGGTCATGGCAACACTTCATGTCATTGAATTCCTTGTCATTTTCCTCACATCATTCCTAAATCAATGTTTGCAGTGTGGACAGGGTAAACCTGCTGAAAGAGGCCAAAGCCATCAGGAACACCATTGGTGTACTTGGTCTGCAACAATATCTAGGTAAGTGGTACGTGTCAATGTAACATCTCCATGAATGTTAGGAACCAGTTTCCCTGCAAAGAAATATCCACAGCTTTCTTCACATAGTCCATTCTGCTGCTATTTGCCAGGTAAACCACGAAAGGTGTGTTCTGACACCTTTCTATCATGGCCAGCATTACGTTTTTCAACAATTGAAGCTACAGTAGCTCTTTAGTGTGCTTGGACCAGATGGTCATACCTTCACTCCCAACGTGCATCACTGACAAAGGAGTGGCAGTGATTTTGTCTCATGAACGTGGGCAGCAGCACTGTCGTCAAGTGCCTGGAATTCTTTTCGGCTAGGCACTCGCATGAACCCCGGTAATGATTAGACCGCTGCCCGTTCTACTTCATGACAAACTATGTGAAAGACGTTCGGGAGATAGGAACTACCTATTTCCCTGGAACTGTTTTGGGCTAGCGCGTAGTGTCCGGACCGTTTACTGCTGGTGGCATTAGTTTCACCAAACCGATCTGAGTGATATTTGTAAATGCTATACACTCAGATCAGGTCTATCCAGGGATATACCTTTTGTGGGGTTCCCAGTAATGGGAGTACTTTTGGGGTACTGTATATTTTGTAGGGATTTTTTGTAGTTGAGAGATAATTGAATTGTTTTTCTCACGTAATTATCTTTCTGGCACAAAGGATACTGGGAATGTAACTCCTGTATTATTGTGATGGAGACCCCATGTAGGGGTCTGTGCATAAAAGCCATATGTGGCCTGAAATAAATCAGTTGACTCCCAGAACTATGTTTCGTCTGGTTACTGGCGGAATGGATGTCTGTAAGCTTTAATGGTTCCAGTCTGGCTTGGAGACGGAGCTTCAATAACCAGTCAGGTTACCCGGTGTCCGCTACACTACCTAATATATCCCACTTTGTAGCGGAGCTGCAATCCTGAGACCGAATATCTCTGACGAAATCCTCTCGAGCCGCAACAAAGATCTGGTTAGTGAATATAGCCCTTTTCCCCAGTAACTGGATGACACACAGCTCTGGGAGTAAAACTGTTTTTATTGAGCCAATCGCAGCCTTTTATGCACATATAGTACCCGGCCAGGCGTCACTGTATCTGGGAGATAATTGAGTTGCTGCCTGTGGTGACATTCTGTCATCAAACTAATATGGTGACCAGGGTTCATGTGACCAAGTTCATGTTTGCCTTTCTTACAGTGGGATAAGCTTTACCCTTTGAAATGGTAATTGGGTAATTCAATACCTTTACAAGTCAGGAGAGAGATAACCACTTCCCCCTATCTCCATTCCTCTCTGTTCCTTCTTGGCTGTGCTGCAGAGCAGATGTGCAGACGCCATGTGCTAGCATGGTGAACCATGTTACTCTCTGTTGCTTCCTTTTCTTCCTTGGTGGATGTGATGTTGAACTTGCAGCAGTGAGCCATTACTAGATGTGAAGGCCTAACCGTGGGTGAGATCAAACGTGTGGGGAAGGGGATTACTATATAGATAGATTTAAAAAGGGTTGTTGCTCCGTGGGTCTGGGCCTTTTAATAAATACCTTTTAATGTAGACGAACCTTGTGTAATTTGTATATTAATTTGGTGATACACCACATTTGGCGACCACGAATTTTAGACTTCTACGAAGGTTATTTATGAGGTAATAACACATTAATAGTCAGATTTAATTTTTGGGGGGAGAAAAAAAAAAAAAGAATTATCCTCTGCATGGGAAAGCAAGGGCTGATTGTGTGTGGAGTCTAGTTTGGGCATCCATTTTAATATACAAGCTTGGGCATCAGGCCTCAATTTTAAATATATATTATTTTTTTTGTGTTTCAAATACCTGAGTTTGTTGTGTTTTGACTACCATAGTTCAGGCCTAGTAGTTTTTCAGGCCTTAATTTTTATTTTATTTTAATACACTACCAGCATAGGCCTCAATTTCGAAAATATTATTGTTTTTAATCCTTTATATTGTACTAGCTTATTTTGCTACATAAAACAAAGGTATAATACAGGTTGTTTTTGTGTGCTTCAAATATCTGAGTTATCAGAGTACAGGCCTAGCCCTGCATTTTAATACACTATAGTAGGCTGCCATGCGGATTCTTTTTGTATTTAAATGCTGATTGGATTCATATCCTAGTTCAGGTATAACTCCTACCCTCCAGGCCTTGCTATTATATTTTAATATGCTAATTTTGGCACTACTGGTTTTGAAGTTAATTAGCAAGTATTACCTTCACCATACTAAGGTAAATATAATTTGCATCGTGGATACTAGTCTATTTTGCTACATATAACAAAACTGGGCGTGTGTTTAGGGCATATCCTAAATCAAGCTTCACAGTAGAGTTGTGGATATTGTGTTCCCCACCCATTGTGTTTAGCATACAAAGGTAATTGAGTTTTGTTTTTTGTTTTCTCTATTTACACCTGGCCTACTGAATAGACATCAACTATTTTTGGCTATTCAGAAGCATGCTACTTTAGTTGCAAATTGATTTAAATTGGGTTCTTACTTGGGTGAGTAAAAGAGTAGGAATGTCTTTTCAAGGGGCCAAATACTTTTCCACAGAAGTACGTGAGTACTTTAGGAAACATATTCAAAAACATGATGGTCCATATGAGCTTCCAGAGCCAGCAAACCCAGCCAGTGAAAAAGAGGAGAGATTAATGGATGTACTAACACAAATTGTAAATAACAAAACGTATAGATCAAAGAAAAGAGAAAGTTTGGTCACACAAGCTGTTGTAGCCACAATAGGAGGCCTAATAGACATAGTTGTAGAATTACGGCAGCATAATTTGGAAACAACAAATAAAATGGAGGAAGCAATGGACAAAAGGGATTGTTTAAAAATTGCAGCTTTGAACTACAATTGTTGGGGAACTAGAAAAGGAGTTAAGAGAAATAGAACAACAGAGAGATGCATATAGTGCTAAGATCACTGAACTCCAAGACCTAGTCATGGAATATAAAATGAAAATTAAAGAAAACACAAATAAATGGGATAAGGAGATTCCTAGAGTATGCCCAGACCAGTCTTATTTTATATCTGAAAGTAAAGAACCAGTGCTGGGAACAAAACACAAGGGAAATGTGCTAATTGTAAATTGTGTCCCACAAGCCCCTATAATAATAACTGAACATTTTAATGTAAGAGAAATGCCTACTAGCTTCTCTAGACAGACAAGGACTATGTCAATCACAGACAAAGATAATTTCCAGAAATGGTGGGGAAGTATGCCAACTGACGACTTTAACACCTTTACACATTGGTTTATGAGGGGAGCAAATAGAGCAAAAAAAAGAGGTCTTAACTTAGAAGAATGGACAGAACTGTTAGAATATGCTATGGGTCCTTTGGCTAGCAGACTATTTGGATTTAATAACAGTGTGTCTGATCAGGCAGGAAGAATTGCTGCAACGATTTTCTATCTACTCAGCATAGAGAAAGAAATAGTTAATATTATGATGAGGCCAGCAGATAGTCCTAGAGAGGTAGCTCAAAGGATATTGTTCTGGTATACGCTACGCCAACCTCAACAGCCTCTGGTCTTGGGCTCACCAGAACACATTGCTAAAGTAATGGAAGCCCTTTCCTGGGAGTGTCAAGAATTTGTGAGGCTTTTTGATCCAACACCAGCAGACTTAGAAATGGTACTAATTAGAGCTGATAATTGGTGGATCAAGAATCCTTCCTCAGAACAGGCCTTCTCTGTTTCAGCCATAAGAACATTCAAGTCCGACTCTGGTAGAGATATAGATGGTAAATGGAGAAGCCAGAGGTGGAATGTACCCCAGAACAATAGGGATAATGAGAACTGGAGACCAAAATAGGACTTTGACAAAACATGGAGAGATCCACAGAGGGACCATAGGAATGTAATGGGAGATAATTGGTGGAAAAAAGATGGGAGGGACCTAAGGTAATCAATAATAATTGGAATAATAAAAATACCTGGGAGAGGCTAAAAAGGACAGATATTAACTGGGAAAATCACAATTGGGGAGAAAAACAGAGAAACAACAGGAACAGTTATTGGGAGAATAATTGGAGAAGGAACCATAGATCGGATGAGCATCAGACCAATAGACGGAATTGGGATAAGTGGAGGAATAAAGAAGGGAATAGAGACTACTGGGACCTAAAGAGACAGACTGAAAGATTGGAGGCAGACGTGAAAGCGCTGAGGGAACAGTTGAGAGAGGAGGAAAAGATTGATCAATTGGGGGGTCTCAGCAATCAATAACACTCATAATTTTGTTTTGCTCTCTACATCTGTATGTATGTTTGTTTTTCTTTTGTTTTGTTCTTTCTCTCAGTCTTCCAGTCTCCCATTTAGCTATACCTTTCTAATGATGAGATCTAGTGTTCCCACAGAGCAAGGCAAAGCTGTATTAGGATGATGATGTGTGTCAACAGAAGATCATAGTGGATCCTTGTTACAGGATGGATAAGTATAAGCTGTATCACAGTAGGGATGGGAGACAGGCAATACGGCCAGAAGATACTCCAAATAAGGGAGAAGATTAGAGTCTATATTTTAATAATCCTTCTATTCCTCCAAAGTGTCCGGAACAACGGCGACAGTGTTTTAGGCAAAGCAGGGTGTCAGGAAAAACGGGACAATTTGCAGCTCTACTGGGAGGAGTCGGAGCTGGATTGAGAGTATGGAATTCTGCAAATATCACATCCAGTCCTACAAACTTTGCCGCTAGTACTCATGCTCATAATTACACTATACTTTTGTGTGGCAATGAAATAGATGAGGAAGAAACTTGAAAAGGGGGATTTTTTTTGTTTGTTTCTCTCTCTCTCTCTCTCTCTCTCTCTCTCTCTCTCTTTCTCTCTCTCTCATACATTCTTCAATAAAGTTTTACATTGCACACACACACACTCACCTAAATTCTATAAGTTCTCTTTTTTTGTGACACTTTGTATAATATGTGAATTGATAGCCATAGGAAAGTACAGGAGACATTATGTCGCTGAGGGAACTATTCCGGAGGGACGGTGGGTTGAATTTCTCCTGTATAACAGGTTTTTGCTCCCACTAGGTTCTCTTGTACTAGAGGGATAACTAGATAATGGAGCAACATAGAAGAAGAAAAAGTGGGGGAATGTGGGGTGATGCAACCCCTATTTGAATTTTCTTTCACCTTGCTTATTATCACTCACTATAATTCCTGTGCTCCCCTTTCCTACTTCAGATCTCATAGTTTAGATAGATAAGAGGGATATATATATATATATATTTGTGACTAAGTGGCTACTAAGAAAGACTGGACATACCCCACTTGCAATACCTCAGGTTGTCTACTTTTGCAAATGGTATGCCATCATGGGGGTAATTCTCATTCCTGGGCTACCATACGCTCTCAAAGGCAACATAACCAATCTGGCAAATTTCAATGTCAAAAAAATAAAATGCAAGCCTTATATGTGACTCTCTAACTTTCCAAAACACCATAAAACCTGTACATGGGGGGTACTGTTATTCTCGGGAGACTTCACTAAACACAAATATTAGTGTTTTAAAACAGTAAAACATATTACAACAATAATATAGTCCATAAAAGTGCAGTTTGTTTGTAAAAAATGCAAAAAACTTAACTTTTACTTAAAATATCATCGTTGTAATACAATATACCAGTCTTAAACACTAATATTTGAGTTCAGCGAAGTCTCCCGAGTAAAACAGTACCCCCTATGCACTATAACCTGTAGTTTTATGGTGTCTTGGAGAGTTACAGGGTCAGATATAGTGCTTGCGAATTAAATTCTCTGCACTTTCTCCCTGTGTTGTCAGGCATGTCAATCACATTTTTATTAATCAAATCACATAATTACGTTAAAAGATTACTTAAATATACACGTCGAATTTTAATATATATGCATTTATAGGTATTTAAATTCTACGTGTATACTAATGTAATCTTTTATGTAATTATATGTATTTATCTATATATATATTTGCGGTTATTTGTATTTTATATATAGATAGATATATATAGAATATCATTCTAAGTGTATTTTGTTACCAATATATATATATTAATAACAAAATACAGTTAGAATGAAATTACATATGAATATATAATTTATATTAAATTTTGTTTCAATATTTTATTTATTTATTTTATTATTTTATTTATTTATTATTGTAATTATACGTATATATATATATATAATATATGTGTATATATCTATTAATATATAATATATATACATATTATATATATGTAACGTCATTCTAAGTGTATTTTAATATTAATATATATACTAATATTAGTATTAAAATACACTTTGTATGACGTTACATATATATAATATGTATATATGTTATATATATATAATATATATACATATATTATATATATAAATACATTTAATTTATTTTATAACCTGTTTCATTTTTTATTTTTTTTACACTTTCCACCAGCAGGGGGACTGTCTGATATTTCATACAGTCCCCCTGCTGGCAGATCCATATCCAGCTATAGGGGGCCATGTGATCGCTCTTTGAGAGCGATCACATGGCCCCCGGGGGACTCATTCGCCGGGGGAGGGCTGCCTGGGCTGTCAGGCAGCCCTCCCAAAGAGGATCGCGGCGGAGGTAAGTAAATATTACCTCCCCTGGGCTTAAGCCATTACAGCGTTCTATGCCGCCGCAACGGCTTTAAAGCCGCGATGGCATAGAATGCCGTAATGGCGTTAAGCGGTTAAGCGATTGGAACTCCCAGGAACTCAGGAACCTGATATTGTAATAAAAAATCAGGAACTTAAGGATTCGAAATGGAAGTTAAAATAATGAATATTTATTCAGAGCAAACAAAACACAACACGTTTCAACCCTATAAAGGGGCTTCCTCAGGTGCTGATACATATACTGCTATGATCAAACTTATATACATATGTATATCAATTAACAATTAATTACACATGTTCCATACAAACACTCCCATCACCAAATATGGTCCGAACCGCAAACGCACCGTGCCACCCCCAAAATGGCGACTTTTCCGGTTTGGATATAAATCACCACCATCTTGGTAGTCCAAAGGACTCACATATAAAAGCATATTAACAGATTAATTATAAAATAATAAACATTTCTCATTAACTGTAAAATAAAATAGGAATTTTCTCTCTTTCAAAATCTTCAAAGCCGAAGTAATAATTTAGTTCCTGTAACTTTTCTGATTCGAAATCCGATACATCATTTCCTCTGTCGTAAGGGTCTGTATGTTAAAGGTCCTATACGTCCCTTCCTGTGACGTCTTGCCTCCGAAAGTCCACCTCCTCTGGATTATAATTGCATCCACACAGATACATATGAGGTCTATGACATTTGGTAAATCCGAAGTCATGGGAGCTATTGATAACAGAGTATATTTTCCCCAGCATTGTAAAGAGGAAAGAGGGCAAGAGAAAAAAATATCAGTATTAAAAATAATAAGAACCTACAATGATAGGTACATATTATATATATTATAAAAATACATATTCAAAGAAAGTAATAAAAGTGCACACCATAAAAAAATTGAATAAAAATCTTTTTAAAAGTCATTTTAAAAAGGTGCATGAAAGGGAGTGGGAGTGAAAAAAAATATACAAAGATATAAAAATATATATAAAATATGGTTAATTTTAAAATCAATGTTTAATCTCTTAGGGGTCAAAGTACGTAGCTCAAATATCCATTTAGATTCCTGAATACTTAATTGTTTAGAAATATCCCCCCCTCTCCAATGTTTGTTAACCTTTCTCACGTGCTCATTTATTTTGTAATGTCATTTATTTACTGTGATGTAATTATGGGGTACAATATATAGGGAAGACTTCTAGATCCATAAAAGTAAGAACAAGTGAGCACGTGAGAAACATCAAAAAACGCTTTCTAAACCATAGTGTCTCTAGGCATTTTCTTGAGAAACATATGTCAGATCCAGGACATTTAGAATTTTGTGCCATTGATTAGGTTAATAAACATTGGAGAGGGGGGATATTTATAAACAATTAAGTATAATTGACTCTGATGCCTTGGATGGGGTCTCGCCATCACAGCAACCTCAACACAAAGCCCCCGCAAAATGCATTAAGCCGACTCCAGCACCTGCCCTGAACCCACGGATAGACCCATCCTCGGACGAGGACCACAACCTGTCACATTCCCTGTCCATCCTGGACAAATGGTGTGCAGAGGTGTTGGAATCTGATAACCACTGGGGTTCGGAATCTAGGTC